TCCTGGAAATCGCAGCTCACTGATAAACTCTCTTCATTTAGTACCCAAAGTTTCATGTAAACAATATCCTATAGCGGGGAAGGCTAAAGCCTTTGCCCAAACTCATTCGCATTCAGCATATGTCATCTCTTTCATATTATGGACTACATAAATACAAATAGGCCTAGACCTTCATTAGATACATAACAGACAATTGTCCTTGAGCGCAAGGCCAAAGAGTGGAAAACCCTGCTATGACCAAGCCAAGCTAGTTGCAAGTGGCAGACAACTCCAGGTTGCTTAGCAACACTTTCACACCATCCCAATAGAACCACAGCTGAAAGTGCTCTGGAGACATCCAGATAGTACTGACAGTATGGGTTATTGTGCACGCACTACAGCCAAGATCTTCAGATCACTTAGGAGCGGTCACAATAGCTTACCATGATTACCTTGATGCTGTTAAGGATGGTCATATTCACTCTGAAGATATGATTCTCATGATTTCTCTTGATGGCGCTTAACCATTTCAAAACAAACCTTCCAACTGTTGAATCTATATTTGGGTAGTCAAGAACCACTCACCTAATGTTTGGTACAAGAAGAAGTATGTGCTGCCTGGCAGTTTCATCCCTGGGCCAAACAAACCTAAAATCCTTGACTCATTTATTTTTCCTGGATTCTATCATGTCACAGCGGTTCAACAGGAAGGCCTCCCAGTCTGGGATGCTTTGAGAGATGTTTTATTATATCTCAAACCTGTTTATAGCCATTGCAATATCAGATGGACCTGGTTTGGTGTATTTCAACGGTTTTGTAGGTTATCATGGGAAAAATGGCTGCAAAGAGATGTGTGGACAAAGAGGTCATCACAAACCTGGAGGAACACACTATTATCTGGCCCTATTTAAGCCACACAATTACAACATCAAAAGATGTGACCATAATGATATTGACTTTCACCAGGTACTTTCAAGCTCACCAATATTGTATCAAGCCAACTTATGCTACCTCATTGCTTCTCCAAATGCTACTCAGTACAAAAAACACCGTCTGGAAATAGGCATATCAAAACCCATCATCTTTCTTGGACTATCACCTCTTCACCATTTTGGCATCCCAAAAACATTTGGATCTGATATAATGCATCTTATTGTATTAAACATGCCTGACCTTCTCATTAACTTATGGTGGAAGACCATTGATTGTGAAACAACCAACAGTAGATACACTCTGACATACCAATAAATACTCCATAGGATAATACCTCTGATTTGTAAGCCAGCCCAGTATGCAGCAGCTATTCTGTGTAAGACGTCCGTGGTTGCATGTCATGTTTAAGGTCCTACATTGTATAACCTTAGCCATATAGCTCAATTGGTAGAGCAGCTGGCATGTATCCAGAAGGTTCCAGGTTCAATCCCTGGTCTGGTCATTATCCAATTTTATCAACAGCTGGGATTGGGAAGTATTAGTAGGAGATACATGGATAATGCATGGGAAAATCATTGCCAACAGAAGATTACCAGCAGGTACAAGGCTTGGGAGTTCCTTTTATACATGTATGGACTGTGCCCTGGCGTCCTATATAATGTTCCCCCATAAAAATACTGGCAAAATTTTTGCAAACTTGTTTTTAGTGTTCACATATTCAACCAACACCAAATCCTCACATTGGATCTACAGCAGGCACACAAGAAGATGTTTAAATTCTCTGCTGAATTTGAGCTTTTGTGCTACTAGCAGTGCACAAATTGTCTTCATTTTATATGACCATGTTTACACACAGCTCAGAACCTTGGTCCAGACATTGTTGCAAGTGGCCCTGGCATTTGTTTATCTCAATGGACAATGGAATGTACCTTAGGCAATCTGGGGCAAGAACTTCATCAACCCTTAAATCCATATGCAAATATTTCTCAGCAGGGCCTCCTCCATTCTCAAGTTAATACGCTCAAAACCAATGTACCAAACCTCAACACTCAAATACATGGTCTTCCAAAAGGTTCAAAGGATTTTGGTGGCAAGTATATTCTACTGCGGGAAAAAGACAAATATGCATGTTCAGTCTGCATTTGTGAGGCCTAGGCAATCTGAGCCTATGTTTTCAAGGCTGGAGGCTACTCAGAGGCAGTTGATGGCTGGGAACCTAAATCACTAAATGAGCACGGTTTTGACTGCCAAATAAACAAGTGCTACGGTCAGCTTGGAAGAAAAATATGAAAGCCAAAGTGAAACTCAGAGTGTCTAGGAACATAAAAGTGTGCTCATTTCTTTTTACTGTGTGTTGTTGCAGCTGAATCATCTGGTGTCCAGTTTTATTCAATCAATAAGTTGTTCTTTGAAGAGGTCTTGTTTTATTTTGTCCTACGCTTGTCAAACAAAGACACTAACAGGCCACTTGCACTCGTATCAATGTACTACTCCAACTTTTGTTCAACACACTGTGGTCATGTACACACCAGGGCAACAATAATCTTTAAGTGATTGACACCAAATCAATTGACTCTGTTTCAGCCATGGTTTCCCATAAACCATTTCAGAATGAGAATACTGAGAGATTTTTTGTTATTGAGAAGCCTGGGCTTGATGTTGCACATATGGCTGGATATACTAAACTTCTTACTAAGTAACAGCTAGATTGACAATGTTATATTCACAAGGATAAAATGTGCTGTACACACAAACACGAGACTTGTAGATAGATCAAATTATGTGAAGGTTGCCTTTTTTGGTGAGACAACTTGTGTTTGCTTGGAATTTTCTTAGATTGTCATGTACAAATCTATACTCTACCTCTGTAACTATGTACACCTATCTGAGCCATCTGACTGGCTTTTTTAAATGCTCAAGTGAAAACATTCCTTCTGGATCACCATATTTGCTTGACCAGCCATTTGGGGAGGAAGAAAGTCCTGCCGGTTCTGCCTCCCCTGCCATTTTTACTCTCAGTGAGACCAACCAACCATTTGATCATGAGTTCAGCCCAACAGTGTACTTACCTAGGTTAAGGTCTGCCAGTGTTCAAAATATGTTGGGCTTGAACTTAGGTTGTTGAGACTTTTCTGCAATAAGTAAATGATTATAATGAGTAAAACTGACACAATAACATCTAAGCAATATGTCCAGAGTTTTTCTTTGCTCAGCTCAGCATCTGGTTCAAGTGCTTCAAATGGACATGGTTACATAGGCAATATATACAACAAGATATGGGAGTTACACTGAGCAATAAAACTATCTCAATATTAGCAATATTTTGATTGTTGAGTGAATAACCCATACACTGTTGATGCTAGACCCTTAAACCCACATATTATTAGAAAGCCCTGATTGAGAGCTTTCTAATGATATATACATTGCTTAGGTAATTATATCAGTCAATATTCACACATTAATCCACTATACTCATTGGGACAGTTTTTTTGCTAATCAATCTCACATAACATCAGAATTAAGTATTGTGGTGAAATATTACAACAGCACTTGATACACTTGATTATGTGACATATAAAAAGTTCAACTTAGTATTAAGAACAAAGCTTAAGGGAAGTGTCTAGCCACTTGCTGAGAGCAATCAGGAACCGGAAACTAGACTCCAATGTAAGTAACTAGAGAATAGAAAGTATTGGACTCTCACCTATTACTCCCACACTCTGGGCTTATTATAGTGGCACCTTGCACCAGATAGCGCCGCATAATAAAGCCTTAAAGCCCTATTTCTGAGCACCGGCATTGCACACAGCACATGGTAGCGCCATATGCTCTGTGCTGAGGCAGAACGGGCCACATCATCCATCCATATTAGGTCAGTGTCTGTTGTTGTCGTCTCGGACAATGAGCACACTATATAACTCAATTCTTCACCGTTTTCAGGCAATTTATTTAAATACTAACATACCATGCTGCCAAATTGTACATCAAGAAAGACCAAAACATGAGTCTCATACTTCATTGATGGTTTGTGCACCCTTAAGTTTGACTTGTGATGTTTGTCACATTACACCTAACATGTCCATTGCAGCTGCATACATGCGCGTTGGTTGCTCTCAACATCCATCCCAGCACCCTCACACCATAGGACGTCAAGCAAGGTACACCGTTTTGGGGACTTCACAGTTAGTGCAGGTTTCAGTGGGTCAATCAAGGGAAACACTTCATCTCAGTAGCCTCAAACAATGGGCTGAGGATGTGGTGGCAGAGTGTGCATCATTTATCAAGTGTAAGTCTTTTTTTTCTTGTTGTTCTCAGTTAATCTCTCCTATTACACAGGATCGGACTTGCACCAGCAGGATAAATACCTTAGAGTGGAATGTCTCGCAAGTATGGCCCAAAACATTCATGAAGACACAGATTAATCCTCACATTCAATCAACATGCCTTTTGTGGTGCCACCTGTTGGTGAAGAAGCCCTCTCCCTTAGCCACGCTGGCGGGGAGTTTGAGGCATATACAGAGCTTTACGAGGCCCTTAATGCCAAAAAGTAGTTCTGTTCTTGTATTCAATGCATTGTTTCACTAACTTTTTAACTCTAAATCTTATCTTGATAACAGAGATCATGGTACCTGTATTGCGCAACTTGTGCAAGATTAAACAGAACAATATGATTCACTTACCAACACATATTTACAGCATCAACAAGACTGTTTAATGCCGCTTCCCATCAGTAGTAGACCAGGCGAAGACCATTTTTCTATTGAAGTAATTGATGTTTTTGGTATGTAAAGATTGGTTTCATCGCTTAGACCCTGACTACAATACCCTGCTAGAACAAAAGCTTTATATTTTTTTGCATGTATCCCAGTTCACAAATGCTTGATATGTACTTCAAGTTCGATAAGTATGCATTGTTGAGTAAGTTTTTCTTTTTGTTTTGGTGATTTCACAAGTGACAGAGTCCTCTGACAGGTACATCCATATATCACAATTATGTCCAGGCCTTCAATATTATCAGTATCAACACAGAATTTCTCTGTCACTCACAATTGACCAGCGACAACTTTGAAGCAGATTTAGCTGACAAACACCAGTATCTTCAGCAACTTAGTAGTAAAAAGAATGAAGATAGTGCTGAGATGGAGTATGTCAAAGCTTTGAATGAATTGGATGAAGCTGAGTATGGTGTTTGTTGTATTTTTCACAGTGTATTGTTCATTTGTTTAGAATCTTGTGGCAGGCAGCATTATCTGAATTTAACTGCCTCAATCTCCGCATCTTAATAGATGGATTTACACGGAAAAAAGTGGCAAAAATACAATGTAATTGTACAAATGCGCAAAAGAAGCCTGAGCTCAAGTTGGATGTTGTTCAGGCCTTTGAGGCTAGACTCAGAGTTGAGGAAAGATGGATTGTGGCACATCCTGGGCGTCAAAAGGCACAATCTTGCCTTGTCCATCACCACTTTTATAAAGCTGTTAATGATGTTGAGCAGTTAGTGGTCATGCGGCTATTAGAACTTACAAAGTTACAAATGAGTGGCTTGGGTAAACATTTTGACACATGTCACAAAATTCCAGCTGGTGTTGATATCTACAGGCTACAAACTACAAACACAGTTTGCCAAGGCTCTGAAAACTCACACAGCTGCTATACATAGCAGCTGTGCAAGTTCAAAATGCCATAGGATGCTACAACAAGTATGCCACTGAGCTTGATCCTCCGAAGTCCCCAATAACATGGGATCAAATTGTGGAGTATTCTTCTTTCATTACACAGCAAGCATAGCTGACTTTTGTCACACCCAAAATTGATGAGAAAGCCTGATAGTAGTTAAAATATTTGATTGTATTTTGGACCTACAAGATTTTGCGCGAGACCCATCATCTCCTCATATTTCTATTTTTCCACACAAAACATAGTATACATGGAAATATGTCAACCAAAATACATCATTCTCACAAAATCTTGTAGGTCCAAAATATAATCAAATATGTTAACTACTTGCAAGCTTTTTCATTAATTGTGGGTGTGACAAAATTTGGTTATGCTTGCTGTGTTACAGAGTTTGATCTACATTGTGGTGTTACTGGCAAGGTACAAGAAAAGATATGGGCTATTCCACAAAACTGTCAAGCTGTATGTCAGTACTTTGAGATGACACAGGCAGAAGAGGAGATGATCCTTCACTGCAACATTGAAATTGTGAGACTCCAAACTAAATCTGTGATGATGCTCAAGATTATATGAATACTGGCCATCTCTATTGACTTCAGCAGATTGAGGCACTTCCAGGTTACTCTGGCAGCCATTCCACAGGTGTACATCTTGGCCGTTCAAAAAACACTGTTCCACCAGAGATGTGTGATATGAATGATGCAATGGATAATGAAGGAGAAGGGGGAAATGAAGATCATGAAAATGAGCAGCTAACTGCACTGGAGGATTTTTTTGGCCATTTAGATATTTCATAATTCAAATTATGTGCATTAACCTATGTGTTTAAAGTATACATATACTATTTCTATGTTGTATAAGGATCATCCATAGCTTTGTTACACTGTTGCTGCTGTTTTTTTTTTGAGGGAGAACTAGTTCTGAGATGGTACTGCAAAAAGTGTATCCAAAGAACTAGCATCCTACCAACAAAAGATATCTCCTGTGAGTTCTCATGTTCTGAGATGGCACTGCAGATAGCATGTCCGAAGAACTAGCATCTTACCAACACAAAGTTTGCCCATTAGCAATTGAGACTGTCACTAATCTCCATATTTTTGGAGAGTGACAAGGGTCACTTAGTTAGGTTCATAGAGATTTAAGGTTTTGCCTAATGCCATGTTTCAAAGCACGCTGTGGGAAAGAGAGAGAAATTTGAAGTCAATATTAGATGCGCTCAATACTCAGGGCAAATTCTTGGAGGGCCACTGGTGTGGCTGCTGGCAGAACCCTGGCCAGGAAGACATCTGCCATGGCTTCCGATGTTTGCATGTCATTGACATTGGTGAGCATTAGTGTGACAGCTCTGATGGCTGTTGCAGGTTGTAGGGGGGGGTCTGTGCTACATGACCTAGTGTGGCACTGAGTGCACATGGTGTAATGGGCTTGTCGGTCACTAGTAGGTCTCATTTCTCTAGAGAAGCTGTTGCAGAGATGGTGTTTATAAATGTTTTGTCTTTAGTAATGATGTCTGGTTGGGTGGGTTGGGGACTAGAGTCCCAAGCACTCTTTGAGTTCCAGGTTCTAGGCGTGTCATGTGCTTGGGAGGAGCTGACAGACATTTGTGTCCTAGATAGGGTGCCGTGATACCTTTGGGGTTATTGATGGTGTGTTTGTGATACTAGGATGTTCCATGTAGTATACAGGTATGTTACACAACCAGACTACAATGCACAAACATGTGAAGAGCAACTTAACCTATACAAGATAGGCCTCATCCACAATCAACACCATCATTTGACAAAAGTTTACACTTCAGAGAATGCTATCTTCTTGTTTGAATTGAGTTATTTATAGCTTTAGTTTGCAAGGAAGGCTGAATGCAATAGATATAAGTAGATAGCTGCAAGCAGAATCTTTAAAGATGGTGTTGTGTAAGGAGAGATAGATTTTTTGTGGCAGACCAAGAATTTAAGTTGATGATCTGCCTCATTGCTGACTGTCACAGGCCAAGTCACATTATGTGATAGCATTGATTGTGGATGAGGCCTATCTTATCAGTAGTAAATGTAAGAGGATATGCAATTATTTGGGGCTTTTTAGAAAGAAGCCATAGTTAATATAGACATTAAGGAGTGACATTGTGTACTTTTGTGGCATTTTGTTGGGTAGTACAATCCTAAAACCAATGAACAATTTTATTAATTACTGTACTCATGTTGATCCCAGGGTCACAGTGAGAATGAACTAAACCTCTTTTGTATGACTGTCATAATACATCTGACCTAGCAGACTTAGAAATGTGACATTTTGTACTCCTTAACATTTAGAGCATGTACAGGAACAAATTTACCAAAACCATGGCTATGATTTTTGATGCACCGTGTGCGGAATTTCATTCCCGACCGGTGCCGAATGTGCATGGGGTGAAGGGCACATGCCTCAAGGAGATGGGAGTAAAGATAGCTACTAGTCATTGTGCAAAACAGCTGCATTGATGGTGCAAAGAACCTCCACAAGACACTCTAAGGTCACTCAACAATACCCTCTGTGTTCCCTAAGGATGTCTGGCCTCAATATACAGATACAACCACAACCACTTCACAGAAGAAAAAGAAGGCACCAAAGTGCGTCTGGACAGAAAGCGACACCAAAAAACAATATCCACTAAAATCACCATATTTCTTACGCAGGTGAATAACACTCCTTAGCAAGTAATGCTATTCAATCATTGCTATCAATCATTGCCATTCTTCAACCATTTGTCGATTGAAAGCCGGGTTTCAGCTTCTGTGTTTGTGTGCTGCCCTTTGTATACCAAACAGATGACTATAATTGTGTGCAAAAGGGCTCGAGACTACCGAAGGCAGAAATGAAAAGAAGCAATTGAGAGAATGATAAAATATAAGGTAGGAGAATGCATATCTGTTTTTCTTTTTGATGAAAGACAATCCACGTAAATGATTAAATAAAATATAACAGTTGGATGTGTTTAGTCTGTAATTGCTCAAAACAAAGGGATGTCGACTTTGAGAGCAGTAAGAAACAGCTGCTCTCGAGATTCTCAACGCCAAGGTAAACAAAGCTTTAAACTGTAGCTGATGCTATCAAACTAGATGATTCTCAGCAAACAACACGGAAAGCGGAAGATTGAATTTTACCTCTTCCGTTTTGCTCTTGTCATTTCTTTGCGCAACGCAGGACCATCCAACGGCTTGAGAAGCTCAAACGCACACAAGAGGTCTTCAGATACGCTAAACGACATGAAACCGTAAATAGTGAGCTAAAGCATGCGCGACGGCAGATGTAAATACCTCATGCAAGCACCATAATTGTCAAATTCTTCGCAACGAAAGTTGAACAAATGAAAATAAAATGGAAGATAGGGGGGGACTAACCTCCACAGTAATTCGGAGCACTAAAAACTGTTACCAACGTACGATCGTTCCAGAACTCGTACCCGTCTTCAACTACCATGTGGGCACGACATATCAAATCCATGTCATATCGAAGTAAAAAGTCATTAATAATGGCTTTTCCAAAGCAATAGCTGACACCGCGTTCGTTATCCTCCCAGTCCATTGCCGTATCAGAAGGATCCGACCACAATAGGTCGTTTAAAAGGCCGTAATCGGGAACATCCGTAGGCCTTTGTATGCGTTTGATATCATCCATAGAATGAAGTGACGGCGATAGTCCTCCATGCACACAGAATATCTTTGAAGCAACAATCGCTGCGATTGGTAGGCAATTGAATACATCAATGAAAGTCTTCCAAGTCTTGATGTTACAACGCCGTTTACATTCGTCATAGAAACCATACACTGGAGTAATATTTAGCTGTGATCCAGAAAGGAGTCAGGGATCCCACTGACCTCTGGTAACATTCGCACACTCGTGATTCCCTCGTAAAAGAAAAAAATTCTCGGGATACTTGATCTTGTAGCACAGGAGTAGCATGATCGTCTCTAAACTCTGCTTGCCTCTATCGACATAATCACCGAGGAAAAGATAATTGGCGGTGGGAGGAAATCCGCACATCTCGAATAGGCGGATAAGATCAGAATATTGACCGTGCACATCCCCGACAATCTTCACGGGAGGTGACAATTCAATGAGAGTTGGCTGATTCAGGAAAACTTCCCGTGCTGCTTGACATATAGCTGCTATTTCTGTATTCTTGACACACAGCGACTTGTTAACTTTACCAGAGTAGCCCACATCTAGTAAGCGCTGAATAATGTCGTCGACATCGATTTGTCTGACCCTATCCTTCCCACCATTGCCAGATATCGATTCTCCCAAGGGAAAACTAGTAGAGGATCCTGGCGTAGAGAATAACCCAGAACCAGGTGTTAAAGAAGACGAAGCAGGATTGGACAGTATGGTACAAGTAACGGGAATATCAAGAGGGGAAGGTGAGGGTCTGGTGCCCGCACTGACGAGAGCCAAGTTAGATGCTGAAGATGGGGATGCTGGTGAAATATTAATCGGAGATGTGACACTATCACAAGGCGATTGTGCACCGGATGACATGGCGCTCCATCCTGGTATGTGGGCGCTGGTCACAGGAAAAACATTACTACGGGAGTTTTCGTCTACGTCGACAACTTCCTGAGTGATTGAACCTACAGCACGAGATGTGCTTGCCTGATCATTATTGTTGAATTCATCGTGGACATCAATGGATGGGGAAACGAGGAGAGATTCTTTTTCTTTCTCTTTTGCACCTTTCCTCGACTTTTTGGACTGTTGTTGGCCCATCACTGGACTTGAGATGAGACACAGTATAGACGAGCCGCGCTGAAGACACTGAAGCCTTGACCTGGATGATTTAAATGTTATTCCGTATAACAATGTGGGTGCCAACTTGCACGCGAATAACAAACCAGGACTCAACTAACGGAGGCTGCAATTGCGGAACCTTCAGACCCAGTGGTAGGTACGCACTACGTTGTGAATCTCACAATGTTTTGTTTGTCTACTATTTGGTTACCTTGCTCGCATAGTATCACAGGCAAATATCCGCAAATAACAAATATGCCCTGTTATGTAAGCTTTACCGAACTACACCGCTAATCCGGAAAGGGTAAATGGTCGCTACCTCTCGCAGAGGTTTACTAACTTAGAGTCCGTACGAGAACAATCTATAACGAAGGGGACGGTGGTCCCAAATGCCGCGTGCGAGCCACGTCGCGTCGGTTATTTCACTTAGTTTCGCTCGCGTGGTTTTTGTGGCAACACAGGAGCAGCAGTACAGTAGTAGTGAACGCAGTGAAAATTGCAGCCACATTTGAAATTCTCACGTTTATAAGGACAGACAGCTCACTGACTTCTGACTAAATAAAATTTGATCACTTTACTGTATTATTATTACTCTAAAGATAGTATGGAGTAGCTCAGTCAAGAGCAACAGAGTGCTTTTGATACCATCATACAGTCAATCTATCATAATTGGGGAATAACTTGCTTTATTCACAGTGCTGAAGGTAAGGGTAAGGGAAAAACATATCTCTGTAATACAATTGCCGCTGCTGCTTGAGCAAGAGATAATCATAATGTTGCTCTATGTGTAGCATCCTCTGAGATTGAATCCCTATTCCTGTACATGAAACATCCACATGCAGGATTCCAAAAAACTCTGACCTCCATGAGGTATTGAGACATACCAGAGTTATTGTCTGGGATGAAGTGCCAATGCAACACTGTCATGGGATTAAAGTATTAGATCGTACATTGCGAGACATTTTGGATAATCAACTTCTATTTGGAGGCATTATAATGGTCTTTAGAGGGGACTTCCGCCAAACAATGCCTGTGTTACGATAACACAATTTTCAGACTTTCCCTTTACTTTTATTCTCCGCTTTAAACCTTGTACTATAGCTTTCACACATGGTGCCACGCGGCACTTCCCCTTTCTCGTGCCGCATTGCCTTTCTTCTTATTTTGGACACAACTCTCTCACACAGTGGAGCTGGCCATGCGGGCTAGGCCCCATGACATCATCAGCCACTGTCTCTATCAACTGTATAGTACACATGTACAAATAACCCTGTAGTAGTATATATACCCCAATAGATCAAGGAGACTCCTCAGCGAGTCCTCCTGTTGTTAACCAACAAACTCTCTGCAGCCTAAGGGGTAACCACTCCCCCATCATCTTCCTTATAGTGTGTTTCTGTGTGCGCCATATATCCTGCCAGGGACCAGCTGGTATCGGATTTGGCATAAGTTTACCGGCCGGCAGTTGATGAGAATTCTTAGCCATAGCACATCTCAGACAGGATTTTATGTATTCCTGTATGTCTTTGACCATGCCAGGCCACATGTAGTTTCTGGAGATCAACTCCATTGTTTGTTGCCACCCAGGGTGCCCAGCCACTGGAGTTTCATGATGTCTATCTATTGCCTTGATCCTTGCGGACTCAGGCACATAGATTTTGTTTTTAAAATGAAAGAGCCTGTCTTCCCATAAATAGTTTTCATTGCCGTCAAGGTGCGCCTTTTCTTCTGAGGAGATGTCTTTCTTGAAGACTTCCAGAAGATCAGAATCCTGCCCAGTTCTAACATTGGCAACTCTTGATTGGTCTATCAGAGTAACACCTTTGTTGTCATCTTCGATGCCGTTGGCATGATCCTCTCTTCTGGACAAAGTGTCCGCTTTCCCCATAGAGCTTCCAGGCTTATGAATTAATTTATAATTAAACCTTGACAAGTACACCGCGTAGCGAGCCTGTCTTTGGTTCAAGTCTCGGGCCGTCATAAAATATTCGAGATTTTTATGATTGGTCCAAATTTCAAATTGGTGCCTAGCACCTTCTAAGTAGTGCCACCAGTGCTCTAGAGCTCTAATGATGGCCAGCATCTCCTTGTTGTATATTTGATAGTTGTGCTCTGTAGGCGACAAACTATGCGATAAATAGGCACAAGGCCTCCAAAGATTGTCAGGGCATTTAATTGATAGGACAGCCCCAGTAGCAAAATCAGAAGAGTCAGTTTCCAAACGGAACTCTTTGTCTAATTCTGGAAATGCTAATATGGGCACTGTCGTGAATGCCTGTTTAAGCTTATCAAAAGCTTCTTGTTCTTTGGCGCCCCAGTGCCAAACAATGTCTTTTTTAGTGAGATCGTTCAACAGTCTCGTGATTTTTGTGAAGTTTTTGATAAACCTTCAGTAGATATTTCCTAAGCCAAGGAAGGCCCTAACTCCTTTGACACAAGTAGGTTCTGGCCAGTCCAATATAGCTTTAAATTTCTCAGGATCCATCCTGATTCTGTTCTGGCCTATGATCATACCGAGGAAGTCTACTTCCTTCACCTTAAAATTTCATTTTTCGGGTTTGACGAATAGGTCCCGTTCCTGTAAGCATCAAAGGACTTCTTGCACGATCCTGTCATGCTCAGCCTCATCGTCCGACTTCGTAAATATCAACAAATTGTCAATGTAAATGACAACGCAGTCTTCCATATCCGCAAAGATATCATTCATCATGCTCTGGAAGGTTACCGGTGAGTTGGTCAACCCAAAGAACATAACAAGGGGTTCAAAGGATCCTTGGCGGCACGTGAACGCGGCCTTCCAAGCATCTTCTTCTTTGATCCGTACATTATTGTACCCCCATCTGAGATCCATCTTTATCAAGATTTTGGCGCCAGCCAATTTGTCTACTAGCTGACTGATCAAAGGCAGCAGATACACATTTTTAACTGTGTGCTCATTCACGTAATGATAATCCATAATCATGCGCTTCTTACCATCCTTTTTAGGGATGAAGAACACCAGGGGCGTCGTGGGGCTTTTGGAAGGTCTGATGTAACCCTTCCTAAGCTGTTCATCTATGAAACTTGAGACCTCATTTTTTTCTGGAGCAGAGAGGGGAATCATGTGCCCTTTTCTCGGTTTGAAGGTGTCCTTCAAATCTATTGCATGGTCCCAAGGCTTAGCCTCTGGGAAGTGCTCTGATTTGTGTTTTGAAAAGACTTTCCAGAAGTCATGGTACTCTGGAGGTACCAGCCTCTTAATCTCTTCCTCGCGTTTTACCTCGTCATTGTCATTGTCAATCTTTTCTAGAGATCTGAGTTCATAAACGTGAGCAGCATTAATTTTTTCAAGGCACTCATTGTGACGGACGCGATTCGGTTTACCCAAGTCCACACACTCCTGAGGGCAATGTGACAATGTGACAACCCCTGTCTGCCAGTCGATCTCAGGATTGTGTTTGAATAGCCAGGGCCAGCCCAAGATTAAATTAATCTTCCCTAGTTGGGTAGCTTTGGCAGTGACTCGTTCCCTGTGTCCTTGGTATTCAACAACAAAGGAACATTTGTGTGTGATACAGCCACCTACGTTAAGTGTACCGTCAACATTATAGACGGGAATAGATACATCTAATTTTACAAGGGGAAGTCCAATTTGTTCCGCCCAGACCTGATCTATGAAGATTCTGTTAGCGCCTGAATCAAGCAGTGTGCTGGTTGGGTGTACTATGCCCCAGGCAAGGTTTTCCACACCAACATCTAAACAAATCTCTTTTTGGAATATATACGTGCGCATCAACACACACCTTGGGATTTCGGGAAATGGTGGCTTCAATGAAGAGGAAGAGGTATTGAAAGTTACATGTTTTTCTATTTTATTTTTACCAGAATCAAGCACCCTATTGTTTGTCTCGCCGGGGCCACACTCCAAGGGAGACGCTGGTGCAGCAGTAGTATCATAAATATCACAGTCACAATGCTTCATACAAGTACATATTTCAGATAAATTTAGAAATCTATTTACAAACTGGGGAGCCACCCCTTTCTTTCCATTATTGCTTGTGCAACACCCCAGAACAGGGGCCACTTTGTTGTGGTTTACTTCATTGTTTCGTGGAGTGAAGGCACCCAAGTGACCTAAGCTCCAAACTCTTTTCCCTGGGTCTTCATTTCAGCGACCTGCTGGTCGTAAAAAAAAGGCCCGGATCTCGTCGTATGAACGACCGGCCAGAGTCTGGAGCCAATCATCTGGTTTCTCTGCTTCTAATTGGCGAGCCTGGCACCCTTGATTATTTTTTTGTTGGGCGGCCTGCACCCCGTTTCTGCAATCTCGGGACATGTGTCCCTCTTGGCCACAGTTGTAACAGTTGCCCTTGAATCTGCGCATCTGTCCGCCTTGGACCGCGCTGATATCCATAGGAGCACCCTGTCCTGGGTGCAGCCCGAATGGCTTGAACCCGTGAGAGTGATTATGGTGGTTTGATGACCCAGGGCGCCTCTGGGAAACATTGTTTTTGGTGGTTGACCTGCCACCAAATTGCATATCGTAGAGCTCCATGGCCCTACCAATTTTTTGAAGGTACAGATTTGCTGACACACCCAGTTACGCTCAGCTTGGGGTTTGAAGTATTTTTTGATCTCGACTTTGAGATCATCCCAGGTAGGCCACACTCCCGCTGTGTAGCACTCCTGCATTTTTACTTGGGTGTATTGACCCGCCACCGGTCCTTCCAGCCTTGACAGCACAGCCATTGCTATTTCAAAATCATCAGCAAACGCGTCCCAGTTCGCTTTGATCCAAATCTGGAGCTTGATCCACCATTTGGCAAATCACGCCCTATCCCCTTCGAAAGTGCCGGGATCAGCAATGATCTCGACTTTCTTGTTGAACTTTTGCTCAACTGTAGATTCCGCTGTTGGGGCAGCCTGAATCTCGGCGAGCTGATTTGTTAACGCCTGAATCTGTGCAAGCATGTTGTGTAGCAGACTGTTCATATCCGGTTGCGACGACATGTCGACTTGTTCTTTTTGGTAATGTAAAAAAAAGGTAACTGGGGGTCCCCGCTTGCTATCTGCGGATCAACCTCTTCCCAGCTGAGTATCGGATCTCAATCTCCGACTACCCACACTATAGTATTTAACAAAGTATATAAAAAGTATTTGTAATAAACCCTGGTCCAAACAGTTGTCAGGGGTGGTCCGCTTGTTAAGCTGTCAACCCTTCTCCAGACTGGTGGAGGCAAGTGCCCGGCCTGGTCAGAGGTATTCAAAGAAGAAGTTTTTTGTATTTCTAAATTCAATCAACAATAGTGTGCACACTATTGTTGATCTACAGTACTCCCCTTCACGCTGGGGTCTGCGTATCAAAGGTATTGTTTCTTCTCCCAAAGCACTACAAGGCCGTTGCAAAGAGCGCACCTATCTGCTATACGGGATATTCCCAAACAATAATCAAATCTCCTTCACCCTGGAGTCTGGGTTTGCACAAAGTGCAAGAGAGTAGAAGAGCAAGTCCTAATGTAACAACCAAGAGTTAGTTACTCTGGCACACACAGGAACACACTATGAAGGTAGTGATGAGGGAGTGGTTATCCCTTAAGCTGCAGAGAGTTTGTTGGTTAACAACAGGAGGACTCGCTGAGGAGTCTCCTTGATCTATTGGGGTATTTATACTAATACAGAGTGTTTGTACCTATGTACTGTACAGTTGATAAAAGCAGTGGCTGATGATGTCAGAGGGCGCAGCCCATGTGATCAGCTCCACTGTGTGCGAGACTTTGTGTCTAAAAGAAGAATAAAGGCAGCGCTGCGCGAGAAGGTGGACTGAGAACGAAAAGGAAAGTGCCGCATGGCACAGAGTGTGAACTATAGTAAAAAGGTTAAAGCGGAGAATGAAAATTAAAGGAAAGGTCCGAAAATTGTGTTATCGTAACAGCTCCTGGATGATGTTGGTGGTTGTGGAATTGCAGGAGATGGAACTATTGAGCTTCCCGCCAACATCCTTATGCCAGAAAACACCATAGACTCATTAGTTGACACTACCTATCCTGGAATTGCAAATGGAGACAAAGATGACCATTATTTCCTCCACCGCACCATCCCCTCCACAAAAAATAATGTCATTAGCAACCTTAATTCAGCAATGCTCACAAAATTCCCTGGAAAAGAGTTAGTAGCTCTGTCAATTGATAAAGTGGTTGGAGAGGGGCATGAAAATTATCCTGTGGAATTCTTGAACTCCTTGCAAGTATCTGGCCTTCCTGAAGCGCACCTCAAACTTAAAGCTGGATGTCCACTTATGCTCCTCCGCAATATTGATACCCTAAATGGACTCTGTAATGGAACATGCATGATTTTGATAGAGATGAAGAGAAGAGTATTGAAGTGCCATGTCTTGGGAGGAAAACATGCAGGAAAGATAGCTTTTATTCCATGCCTCACATTGGAACCTTCATCTGAAGAATTGCCCATCAAGCTATCACATTGTCAATTCCCTGTCCATGCTGCCTTTGCCATGACCATCAACAAGTCTCAAGGGCAATCAGTGACATAGGTTGGGCTGGATTTACCTGTTCCAGGGTTTTTGCATGGGAAACTTTACATTGTATTGTCTTTCTGCTCTTCAGGAGAGAGAATAAAAGTGCTATTTCCCTGTGGTTCAAATGACAGACATACCGTCAATGTGGTGTATCCCAAAATTCTGACTCGCTTTATCCTTGACTGGCAAGTAGATTTTTCCCCAATTCTCACCCTTTTTACTAAAGTGTCTTATTCTCAGATCATATTTTCATCCTTTACCATTTCTGGAGTCTCTTTTTTTATTTCTCATCAATTTATCAATGTAATACCATAGACTTTTTACATTACAATATATGTTGATATTTGTAAAGATTCAATGAACTATCTGCTTGAATTCAGTATACCGTGTACAAGTTTAGGGCAGGCTTATAAGGATATTCAACGACAGAACTGCAAGTCAAACATGCATCATAGGATTGAAAGACTTAACATACATTACAGACAGCATAAGTTCACTTAACATTTTGATCACTTAACAGTGATATTATTATTATTTATCATATCACAAAAACATCGCACCAGTGGCAGAGCCACGGGCTGGACCTCGTCTATAACGAAAGGGATGGTGGTCCCAAATGCTGCATGCGAGCCACATTGCGTCAGTTATTCCGCTTAGTTTCGCTCGCGTGGTTTTTGTGGCAACACAGGAGCAGCAGTGCAATAGTAGTAGTGAACGCAGTGAAAATCATAGCCACACTGAAGAAATCTCACGCTTATACGAACATTCAACAATTTGTAGTGAAAATCGTAGCCATGTTGAAAATTCTCGCGCTTAATCATTTTTACTACAAAACACGATATAGTGGACACCAAAACTCACACCTGTGGCACGATGTGACACAACTCAACCAAACAAACCTCTTTTCCTACTATGTGGGGAAGTGGTCTGGCCCTACACACAAAACAAATTGTTGTCGAGAATTTGCACATTTTGCATTACAAAAATTAATAGCCATTATTGACCACACTGTGGTGTGCATAAAAATAAAATCAAAGACCCTTCCCCACATATAAAAACACAGCTTACACAATGTGAGTTTATAACAGTTTATGGTGTTGATTCAATTAAAACTGACACATTGATTACAGAAGCCCAAATTATCAACAAACCAGTGCATATAGCAAATACATAAATATGAATATGAGCAATTCAAATATGCAGTATGTGTAGCATTGTTAATGTGTCATTAACCACTAACTGATATATTGATGTCATTTGTAGACATATTCCACAGACACCTGAACGAGAACATGGTGAACATTGCAATAGAGATTGTATACAACATCATCAACAGATGACATCACCAAGTGTGCGATGAGAGCACCTCTTGGACCGTAGAGATTTGAGAAATATCAATGTTGTGCAACCAAATTTTGGAGGACCTTTGCATGATAATCACATGCCTCAGCCATTAGCTGGACCTGCATACCCTCAATTGCAGCCCCCTTTTCAAACGAGGCAGGGTAACCAGTTGCTTGCTACCCATGGTGTTGACTACAATGAAAGGCTATTAGATGGGTTTCAAAACTGACATACAGAACGGGTTAATCAATGGCGTAATAGACTATGGAGGCAGGAGCAGGCTGAGGATCAGATGATTCAACGCCAGGAAGCAATACAGCTCCCAAGGCAGGAACAGCAGTTGGCTGAGGATCACCAGGAAAGAGAAATTGAATGTCAGGAGGCAATTAGACTACAGGTACAGCAGCATTCTCAGCATGCTGATCTGCGTTATGAAGAGCTACAAGCTCAGCAACTCATTAGAATCCAAAGAGCTGCTCAAGAAGAGCTTGAAAGGAGGGAAGATAAGCTAGCAGATCAGGCTTACAGGGCTGCCAGGGATGCTGTAGACCAAGGCGGGTAATAATACTAAGTGAAACTCAGCCGCTGCCCGAGAGGCTATAGAAACGACTGAGGTATTCCTATACTAAACCCCCTACTACTTATAGTCGGAGGTGCTACTCGCTACAGTATAATGACTCCTAGGAGTACAATTGTGCTCCTAGGAGAACAATGGTTACTCTATGGAGTGGTGGCTATGCTCCATGGAGAACAATGGCTGCTTCGGCAGAGACCGGGTTTATCTGGTTTTGTCGGCGGGGACTTAAAATGAACCGGTAGCTGCCAGAAATGCACCAAGGATGCCAGGCCTCAACGACTTGCAAATGAACAAAATATTGCCAACCGCCGCCAAGCACAGGTGATACACCAGGAGGCCTGACAACCATATGTAGAGCCTCTATACCGTCATACTTTATGCAACATGGAAGTAGAGTGCTGTAATTGTGGAGCATTACACTGGGATACCGAGAGACTCACAAGTTCCTCCAGGATCCATCCAAAATTTGGTGTGTGCTGCCTTCAAGGTCGGGTTAGGCTGGATCCTTTCCAGGAAGCGCCTGCTGCGCTACACTGTCTGTTCCGTGGGGTTAACATTACTGCATGTGAATTCCGTGACAAAGTTTGCTCATACAACAATGCCTTTGCATTTACGTCTTTGGGTGTCAAGATAGACCATGCTGTCACAAGTGCTGCAGGACCTTATAGTTTCCGTATCCATGGAGGCCTTCATCATAGCATCAGCGCATTCCATCCACCTAAAGGTGAAACTCCCTCTTTTGGCCAGCTTTACATTCACGACCCACAGACCGCCCTTTTTTTACGTAATGAGAATAACCGGGGGCATGGCACTACACCAGCAACCATGCTGGAGATCCAGGATACCCTGGAGCAATTCAATCCATTCAATCCATTCATCCTGTTGTACAAGCAAGCTTATCAGATCATCATGGAAAAGCCTGAAGCAGAACGTGCCAACATAACAGCCCATATAGCTCTTGATCAAACTCTGGACCAACGTCGTTATAATCTTCCTACTGCAGATGACGTTGCTGCTGTTATCCTTGGAGATGGAGAACACAATGTTGATGAGGACTGTGATATTGTTTTGCAGCTGAAGCAATTTGATCATGGTGGTGGTCTCAAGCATATCAGCCATTTGCACCCCCTTTATTCACCTCTGCATTATGTCCTCCTATTTCCCTTTGGAGAACAAGGGTGGCATAGGACAATACAATCCATTCAAAATGCTGATGGAAATATATGCAGTGAATATGTCTCCCAGCCGTGTTATTATGCATACCGTCTCCATCCCCGAAGAACCAATCAATCTAATCTCTTCTATGGTGGAAAACTACTTCAGGAGTATTGCGTTGATGCATGGGCTTCCACAGAAGAAAGTGAATTGAAGTGGGTCCGTCATCATCAAAAAGACATAAGGGCAGATCTTTACCAAGGCATTAAAGATGCTATGGATCGAAATGATGGGGAAATAGATTTGGGTCAACAGGGCCAGAACATTATCCTACCATCTTCTCATTCTGGTAGTACACGGCACATGTACCAGCTCTTCCAGGACTCCATGGCTATATGTTGCCACTGCCGTAAACCCGATATTTTTCTTACAATGACAGCAAACACCAACTGGCCTGAAATTCAAGAGGCTTTGCTGGAATACAACAATGCCGGTGAAGTAGATGATGACCCCAATATGCCTACAAGAAAACAGACTGCTGCAGACCGTCCTGACATTATTGCACATGTCTTCTATCAGAAAAAGAAGGCACTGTTGAAGGAAGTCAAAGATGGGATCTGTTTACACTGTGGAATACCAAAAGCGGGGTTTGCCACACATGCATCTTCTCATATTCTTGGAAGATCAATATAAAATCTGTGATGCCACCCAGGTTGACTTTGTTGTCTCTGCTCAAATTCCTGATCCTGTTACACAACGAAAATTATATTCAATGGTCACGAAGTGTATGATGCACGGTCCATGTGGACCTGAGCCCCCTGGAGCCCGGTGCATGAAGAATAGAGCATGCTCAAAGCGCTATCACAAAGAGTTTTGTGCTGAAACCAGATTTGGTGATGATGGTTATCCAGAATATGCAAGGCCTGACAATGGGAGGACTTATACAGCTCCAAGTGGTCATGTTTTTGATAACCGTGATGTCGTCCCTTATAATGCATATCTCTCTGCCAAATATGACTGTCACATCAATGTTAAAATCTGTGCATCCGTTAAAGCCGTAAAATATATTCATAAATATATTTACAAGAGCCATGATCGAGCTTCAGTTGTGGTGGGAGGACAAGGTGCAGATGTAGGAATTGTGCATGGAGATGCAAGGCAGCCGAGGGATGAGATTCAGGACTATATTGACGGTTGCTATATTGGTCCTGTGGAAGCATGCTGGCATCTCTTGGAGTTCCCTATGCATGAAGAAAAACCAATGGTATTGTGTCTTCCCGTTCACTTAAAGGATCAGCAAACTGTATTCTTCAATGCCCATGATGATGCAGAGAATATAATCAATAACGACCGTACATCAAAGAATCAACTCACAGAATGGTTCACTGCCAATAAAGATCACCCTGAAGGCCGTCACATACCTTATCAGGATTATCCTCAATACTTTGTCTGGAACAAAGGTGCCAAAAAATGGACTCCAAGAAAACAACAATTTGCTATAGGGAGATTGATGTTTGTCCATCCAAGGCAAGGGAAGCGCTTCTACCTCCGTACACTGCTCACTGTGGTCCCTGGAGCAGAGAGTTGGGAAGATTTGTGCACATTTGATGGGGTTTTACATCCAACTTACAAAGCTGCATGTGCTGCATGTGGCCTGTTAGAAGATGATGGTGAATAGGATCAGTGTTTGGCAGAAGCAGGAGATATGTAGACAGGCCCTGAACTCTGTGCTCTCTTTGCAGTTATCTTACTGCAATATCTCCCAAATGAGCCTGCAAACCTTTAGAACCGGCACAAACACAAGATTTGTGATGATTTACACCATTGCCTTCTTCAAAGAGGGATTTCCCAACCTTCAGAAGACCAGATTTATGATTATGGACTATTCTTGCTGGAATCCATACTTACTCAAGCCAACAAGTGTCTTTCAAACTTCCCACCAATGCCTTTTCCTCAGCAACAATGGGAGCCTATCATTGCAAACAATCTTCTCCAGGAGCAGCAAAATTATGACAGATTTGATCTTACCTTGGAGGTTGAAGATAATGTAGAGAGGCTAAATCGAGAACAGCGGAATGCTTTTGATACCATTATGCAGTCAATCCACCATAATGAGGGAACAACTTTCTTTATTCACAGTGCTGGAGGTGGGGGCAAAACATATCTCTGTAATACAATTGCAGCCGCCGTTCGAGCAAGGGATAATCATAATGTTGCTCTATGTGTAGCATCCTCTGGGATTGCATCCCTGCTGTTGGAGGGTGGCCGTACAGCTCATTCATGCTTTGGAATCCCTATTCCTGTACATGAAACATCCACATGCAGGATTCCAAAAAACTCTGACCTCCATGAGGTATTGAGACATACTGGAGTTATAGTCTGCGCCAATGCAACACCATCATGGGATTGAAGCATTAGATTGTACATTGCGGGACATTTTGGATAATCAACTTCCATTTGGAGGCATTAGCATAGTCTTTGGAGGGGACTTCCGCCAAACAACACCTGTTGTTCTAAGAGGGTCAAGGCAACACATCATTTCTGCCTCTCTTAGAAGGTCATGACCGTGGACAAATATCCATGTTTGCTATCTCACACAGAATATGTGCCTGGACCGTACTCCAGAAAGTGAAGCCTTTGCTAGCTGGCTCCTGGATGTTGGTGGTGGTTGTGGAATTGCAGGAGATGGAACTATTGAGCTTCCCGCCAACATCCTTATGCCAGAAAACACCATAGACTCATTAGTTGACACTACCTATCCTGGAATTGCAAATGGAGACCAAGGTGACTATTATTTCCTTCACTGCACCATCCTCTCCATAAAAAATGATGTCGTTAGCAACCTTAATTCAGCAATACTCACAAAATTCCCTGGAGAAGAGTTAGTAGCTCTGTCAATTGATAAAGTGGTTGGAGAGGGGCATGAAAATTATCCTGTGGAATTCTTGAACTCCTTGCAAGTATCTGGCCTTCCTGAAGCGCACCTCAAACTTAAAGCTGGATGTCCACTTATGCTCCTCCACAATATTGATCCCCTAAATGGACTCTGTAATGGAACACGTATGATTTTGATAGAGATGAAGAGAAGAGTATTGAAGTGCCATATCTTGGGAGGAAAACATGCAGGAAAGATAGCTTTTATTCCATGCCTCACATTGGAACCTTCATCTGAAGAATTGCCCATCAAGCTATCACATTGTCAATTCCCTTTCCGTGTTGCCTTTGCCATGACCATCAACAAGTCTTAAGGTCAATCAGTGACACAGGTTGGGCTGGATTTACGTGTTCCAGTGTTTTCACATGGGCAACTTTATGTTGCATTGTCTTGCTGCACTTCAGGAGAGAGAATAAAAGTGCTATTTCCACATGGTTCAAATGACAATCATGGAGCAGTCAAGGACAGGAGGTAGTTAACGTGCAGTGCACAAGAATGGACGACAGCCCCGTGGATGAAAACCCCATAAACAACTCTAGTGATTTGTCAAGTAAACATTCGGGTGGATACCAAGACTTGGAAAGACTTGGAATAGATGGCTTGGACAGATGCGCAGGTTAATCTGCCTGTTGACGAGGGTAGTATTATGATTGATAGAGTGCATATTGGAGAGCTAGAGGTGATGCAATGCAGGAGATGATTGAGGCTTTTAAGCCAACAATTTAGTGTGGTTCTCCTTATCCTTATAGAGGTAATCATCACTACAGTTACGGGTTATGCTGAACTGGAGTCTGAGGAACATCAGCCACTGATGCCTATCCTTATGGGTTAGGGATGGGTGATGGAATTATTAGATGGCCATCCAGACTGTATTTGCAGCGAGCTTGGAATTGATCGAGAGGTATTCAGGAAACTCATCCGCCTTCTCAAGAACAATGGATATGTTGACCCAAAGCACATTTTGATTGAAGAACAACTTGCAATATTCCTGTACGCATCTGCCACTGGATTAACGATCAGACACTTGGGCAAACAATTTCAGTGCTCTAACAACACCATCATACAGTATTTTTTTAAATAACTTTTATTCTCATTTGTCTTGCTGATCTTTTTTTATATTGCAGATACTTCAGACGGATACTTCATGCATTCACTTCGGCCAATATATACACCGCATACATACACCTGCCTGATGAGAATGAGCCAACTCCCCCATATATTGCCAACAACCCCAAGTTTTGACATTTTTCTGGTGCTGTTGGCGCCATTGACAGGACACATATTGCATGTGCTCCCAGCCCTGCTGAACGGTCTGCATCCCAAAATTGAAAAGATGGTGTGTCTCAGAATGTTCTCGTTTGCTGCAACTTCAACCTCAAATTTACTTACATCATGAGTGGCTGGGAGGGATCTGCTGCGGATGCAAGGTTCTTCCACAATGCTTGCATGCATGATCTTGCGGTGCCAGCGGGGAAATATTACCTTGCTGATGCAGTGTTTCCCTCCTGTGCCCAACTCCTTGTCCCCTACTGTGGAGTTTGCTATCACTTATCTGAATTCACTTGTGCAAACCAATAGTAAGCATTTTATTTGTTTACTTACAATTTATGGTTCTCAATAAACCTAGCAGGTCTACAAGGCGCAGCAATTATAACAATTATTCAGCTCAATGTAATGTAATGTAATTGTAATTACTTCTACAGAACAATTTGGCATTGGATCTACAAAAATTGTAATAAAAATGATGAATGAATAAGTGTGTGTAGCCAAATGGTATGGTATCACTGCCCTACAGCATTCCTCAGTTCTGCCATCTTCAAATATTGGCACCCAAATTAGTGCAGAATTCTCTGGCAACACCCCAAAGAGTAGCTGGCTGTCAGCAGGGGTTTTCTTGGATATATGTGGATGAAGCAGAGCTATTGATGGGCAGAGAGACCAGAGGATATGGGAGATATAATACAGTGGTGGTGCTAGGACGAGGAACTTTGACGCATTTGGATAAGAGCTGACAAATTATTGCTTGTCAGCAGGATACGGGGATCAATATAACATTTGGTGTAGTGCCATGTCCCATGATGGTGCAACCAGATTACTTCCAATTGCTCTTGTTTTGGTTTGTGTTCGGTTTTTGGTAGAAAAGTCAGTGCATGAATTGTGTAACCTTTTATTAACACAGCAGCACAACCTGTGGGAGCACTCATGATAATCCGATGAGCAGCATTGTTTCTCTTGAATAATTCGACAATCACATTGATAACATGGCTTTTTCCAGAACCACCTATACCCGTGATATGCAGCAAGAGCTGATTATCAGCATTACAGAGAAAATGGTTGCCAACTATCCAAAATGCTTGTTTGTGCTTGTTGTTACCGGCGATGCCTGTGTTGCAGATCACATCTGATAGATAGTCAATAGGAGAGGACGTGGATGGGAGGGCGTGATGTGAGGGACCTGCAATCTTAGTGACATGCGTGAGGGGCTCAGCAAAATCCTCCAAATGTCCAGTTGGTGGCAAGTCGTCACTATTTGAAGGTCTGTTTGATGTAGGTCTTTTTTTTGACTTGATCTCTTTCATCATCAATGCTTGCATACCTATTAACCTTTTGTCACAATCAGCCATGAGAGTTGAGTGGTGAAGATTGGGGTTTACAGGTGCATTGGGAATGACATCAAAAATTCCACAGCAATTCATGTTAAGAAGAATACGTTCACAATTGGTGAGATCACTGCTTTCCGTTTGAGCTACATCTTCCTCGAAAGCATTGTCATCATGATCATCTAACCCCATTGTTTGCAGGGAGGGGTCATTTAGAACAGAGAATCTGAGACCCTCAATGTCATCTGAATGCTGCATACCATCCATTGCGGTGAATAGTTCAGGTTGATGCGGGTTTGTTCAACGGACGTGGGAGTGTAGGTCTCTTACGTCCTTGCATTCATTTTCAATGAGCATTTTATGTTGAGGTGAGAAATCATAATGTTGAAATGCTTCTGTCCAACTCTCGTTTGTAGATCTCAAGTTGGAGGGATGTCTCCAGGGCTTGAACAAAATGAGCATCGCCCAACTCCAATTATCAAACTCCTCACCATCACGATCAGGTCTTGGAAGAGGGCGCCCCAGAAGGACAGGCATGAGATGATGTTCTCTCATCCGTGGGTGTTCATGCAGGAATTGCCCTCTGGGTGCTGCAGATCTACCAGGTCGTAGTCGCAAACATCCATCCTCGTGACGAACCTTGTCTGTATGATACATTAGTCTTGCAGACTTATGGGAGCTAAGGATCTTTTGGCAGCATTCGATGTAGTCCCATAAAGGAAGACTTTGGAAAACCTCTTCTTCACTACAATAGCAATAATCTTGTAAGTCGCTATTGATCGAGATATAGTTGTTTTTGACACTCACACTAATCTCCTCTGTAAGTGCAGTTTGGTCATCAGCACAGGGAAGTAGGTGCCCAGCGTTGTCATGAAAAGGGACATCACTATCATCTTCTACAGAGGATGAAGACTGAAGGTCTCCAGCGAAGTGGGAAGACATGTATTGGTCAAATTCAGACCATCTAATAACACAATAACAGTCCCCTCCTCCAATGAGGTAGGACATGACTTGTTGATGTGACATCTCTTGACGAGCCATTATAGCATTTACACTTTTAGTGAACAAACTTTGACTCCTCACCAACTCAGGAGTGTCGTCACTTTGGGGAAATTTCTTCTTGTTCTGCTTAATCGCGTAACGCAATGCATCCAGGCCAACGTGCACGGGGAGCGTGCTCTTAGTGATATAATCACTTATATAGTAAAGTAAGGCTTTTGCCGCTTCACCCGAACCAACATATTTGATGTCCATATTACACTTAAGTAGGAAGATGACAATGTCATTAAAGTTGTTAATCTTTGGGTGCAATCTCCACAATAATATTCCTTGGGTCTCACTATCAAGTTCAGTGAGAGAATGAGTAGACCCGTTTATTTGCATCCTACGATGTGAGTCATTGCAAGGCTCTCCCGGTCGCAAGTGTTTCCAGAACATGTCCGTATGCTTGTGCCAATTACATGTGAGCGCTAAATCAGTAACAAAGTCTTGAAAGTGTTGTGCAAAATGAACATTGTCTTCACTCAATATCGGCCAATCTGCAAGTCTAGGATCTAGTTGGTCGGGTGCACGTGGAGGCCTCTGAAGTGGATGGTCAGGGCTGTCGATTACAACTTCCATCATACCAGGCAGCTCACATTGAATGATAGACTCCAACCAAGTGGAAATCTGGGTCTTGTAGTCCTTGTCTGCCAATATGCGATCACACAAGCTTTGAGGGTTAGAATTGCCGCATATCCATATCAGCAGGTGATAATACAAAGTACCTCTCCCCTGAGCCTCAACCATCCCATAGTATGTGTCACAAACACCAAACAAGCCAGGTTGCTTGCTACCATACTTCAAAATGGTGTTTATAAAACTGGTAATGATATGATCAAAACAGAGAGTGGCTGAACCAGGGTTCTTTGCAACAAATACAGACCTTTGCAGTATACTCAAAGTTTTCCGCTCCTCGGGCAACACGTCACCAAAGAGGCTGACCAAAAAGTGATTGATATCTGAAGAATCAATAGTCAAAAATAAAGCCAGAGTACCTAACAGCTTCATCAACACACAGATCTCATTGCACCAACACTGCTTGTAGCCACTACTACCCTTCACATCCTTGGCTAAGAATTTTAAACGATTAAGAAGCTTGACAGCAGCTTTCTGTTGATGGTTGGAAGGTTTTGCGTAAGGGTTGGACTTCCAGATACGAATGAGATTGGTAAGTGCGGGTGCTTGTTCACTAATTTGCCTACCTATTAATATGCGTTCGGAAGCTTGAACACAAAAGGTGACATGTTTCATGACTTCACGTCGCTGCATTATGTTCCAACAAACATACACAAAGTTGGGGTCACTTTGAAAGGGAGAGTCATCTTGCAATAGCAAGTTGCAAAACTGGCGCTCAAAAGATATAGCTTGGTCAGGACGTCAATCGGGATGATAAAAACAGCCTATTCCCCAGGGGTCTAAGTGGGGAAAAAGGTATGTCAACAGGGCAGGACCGTGGTCAGCAAGTAGGTGGGAACCAGAACACATCTCAACAAATTGTTTACCGTCTAGACAGTGGGCAAGAGCAGTAGCTTTCATCAGCCGATAGCTAGCAGGTGAGTGATCTCCATTTGTGTAACCCACAGCTTCAAGAACAAAATCAGAATTGTCTTCTTCAGTGTTATGTTCAACAAGGTTCTCCTCACGATCAGTATAGTCAGCGCAACATGAAGCGGTCTCACCAACCCTTTCACTTGGAAGGAAATTAAGTTGGACGGCAGTGGGAACACTGTGAGATGAAGGTCCATACTGGCAGCAGAAAATGCATTACGTACTGTAACAGGTACACATTGATGGCCATGATATTGAAAGTTTGCTAAAGCATCTATTGGCTGCTTATTGTTATGAAGCAGGCTGTGCCAACAACTCCCACAAATGTTGATGTCACCAAGTAACCAAGGGGTGTGGTGCCCATTGACGTGTAAAATTGCCTCGTTGTATAACGCAAGTCATAGTTGTCAGGTAACACATGACGGGGAAGGGAAAAGTTTGTCAAGAGGGAAAGGTCAATGTCAGAGCCATACACAACATGAATATGAGTGGGCGCAAACCTGTGAGCACTAACGGCGCAAGTCTTCCTTGTAAGCGCATCAACAGTGTATTGTGTTTGCCACGCACGAATAATGTCATGTTTCTGTTGTTGTGTAGCGATCCAAGGAAAGTTAGCAGTATCAGTGATATTGTGTGTGTGTTGATGTGCATATGTTAATCTTTGCAGTTCCAATTCTCTGTCCAATGCACTGAGGTGCTCTCGCAAGGCTTCATGCATTGAGATGGCGGGCGGAGCATTTTGGAGACGAGTATGAGGGTGAATCATGGCTTGAAAGGTAAATATGAGCCATAAGGAACAGATCTGAGAACAAGCATGATCACATAGTAAAGCGAGGAGCACAGATTTGGTAGCACAACAAATAGAAGTAATGTTATGGGTTGCCGCAATGGATCACAATTGTGAACAAGTCAGATAAGTATAATTGTCTAGTAAGTGAGTCAGAGAAAGGACCTGTACAAGCAGCATACATCCAACAGGATAGCAAGATAGTGTAGGGAGTTCCTCTCCATCAAACACACTGGTTGAGATGTGCACTTGTGATTTCCCCCTCAACATCACCTTCAGTTTCAGACACCACCAGTGAGTGAATCATAAAGATCACAACCAGATCACAACCTAGAAAGACACGACCGTTGAACAATTGGGTGAAGGATAGTGAGATGGAGTGTAGTAGTTGACTACTTGAAGAGCAATTATCAATAACAATAAGAGAAGGGTGCAAAAATGAAAAAAGGACATTTTGTAAACAAGGACAAACTGGAAGACGGTCCTATACAATTTGCGACAAGGAATGGTATCTACTCAACCTGGTCACTGAGGGACCAGGAATAACCACTGACGGCAAGCACACTGGTCTCAAGTCAATGATATAATCCCATAGCTACAGTCCACTTTGTAATTTTGATGGGTAGGTAACCTCCTCATCCTTCATTCTCATCTTGTCTCACTCAAATAGTCTCCAAGATTGTAACACCGCAGTGTACCTATAGAAATGGCATGAAAAAAGATGAGTCTACTCATTTCCATCAATATTCACACTGCCTATCACAGAGTGGATCACGAGCTCAACTGCATTAAAGGCAGAGGAGGGTGTCACCTGAGAGAGAAAGTACTTGCAGAAGCCACTAAGACGTACATTTTTCCCTCTTTTGTGTTGTTGAATCTCCAAAATTTGGGACTTTTACTTTATTTATCTTCATGCTGATATGATGTTACCAAACAGTTTCATTTTAGTAGCAGACTACTGCAAGAATGTCAAGTACCTTGGTACAAACATACATTATCCTTTGTCCATGTTCACCCACATAGTACTGATATGTGGCTCCCACTTTCACAAATCCATTATTCACCATGCCTCTTTGCAATTCTTGCACTACCATGGCACCATATGAATTCTCAGTTCACTCTTGGTGTGCCAATCAAAGTTGTCCCCTTTGCCTACAACAAAGTGCTCCAAAACATGCACCACATCCTTGGCTCTCCACGCGCCACACTTTGGATGGCGGTAGCAAAAGCGGGCCCTGTTGTCAGCAATAACAGAAACTTTATCATTGATGTGCCGTTTGACAACGGATAGATGAAGGAACCACTTGGGGTACATCTTTGTACTATCTAGATAACCTATTTTGTGTTGGGGTGCTCATGGTGTTATTTTGACGGATGAGAAGATAATGGCGAGTCCATCTCTGCTTCATAATCACACTTACCGCTACCAACATGGTATATCCTTCTTATATTGCATCCACTAGCACAAACATCCCCTATCTCACCTGATCCATCACCATCACTTCTCCTTGCAACAATTCACAAAATTTTGACTTTGATATCTACATTCACATCCATTCATATACCCTCAATTTGTGTGATTGATATGTCTTTGATGGATAAGGAAATACCATATCACTGGCTCTGACATCAAGTATCTTGTCATCGACAAGATTTCCATGGTATCTGCATGCCTGCTCAGTGACATTTCCCATAGGATGAGTACTGCCAATTGGCACCTGTGCGAGATCATGCTTTATTCAGTAATTAATTAATCACTAAATTGATGCCTAACACCACACAAACCACTTATGGCCAATCAGCACTCCATGGCGCTTTTCTATGGCGTCATTTTACACACATTGTAGAGTTAAAGAAAAATTGGTGTGCCCATGAAGATCCTGACTTCGTCAATCTCCTACATCATATACAATCTGGACGAGCTTAGAATGGTAAACTGGAGAAAGACAAATTTCAAAGGGGAACCGGTGAAAACTACGCTTGCTCTGATTATGCCGTCCTACACAACCAAATGATCCACGTACTACTTGCGCATGATCCAGGAGCTCTTCAAAAATTCAGAAATGCACCAGTCATAGTTGCGGAGAAAGTCATCAGGGACGCACTCAACCTTCAAAAAGTCATCTGTTTTGCAGCGTCAACTGATCAAGACTTTCATGTCTATTGCTCCACCCACACCTACAAGAAGAAAAAGTTACCGGACTATATCCAACAGCGTATCTGGAACATAAGGTCAAGTGTGACCCAAGATAACTTGGGTTTCTTGCCTCTAATTCGTTCCATGCCCGTTATGATTATGGAAAATGTCGCCATAAAAGAAAACATTGTGAATGGCTCACAAGGCATTCTGGAGAGCATCAAGTTTACTGTAAATGAGAAGGGTAATCAATACGCGGAATGTGCTTATGTCAGAATTCCTGGTTGTCTGTTACAAGCACCTGGCTTACCTCTCGGTGTTGTACCCATTTTGCCTGTTCCTACCTCCTTTACCTACAAAGATGAAGATGGTTGCAACTGGAAGATCAACAGGAGACAACTCCCTCTCCTACCTGCATTTGCTTTCACCGATTACAAGATCCAAGGACAATCAGTAGATAATGTTATTATAGACCTCACAGGTTGCTGCAGCCTCCAAAGTGCATATGTCATGTTGTCCCATGCTAGAACACTAAACGGCATAGCAATTCTTTGTTGGTTTCCTTCAACAAAAGTCTACTACCACTTAGGTGAATAATTCCGCTCTGAATTTTCTCGATTGAAACAACTTGATACAGCAACAATGGCACAGTACATCAACCTCAATCTTTCCTCCAACGATCTGCCCCAGTGTTAACCAATACCACCATTCCATATTGCCACCCTCTTCCTCCTTAATGGTACGGCGTTCTTGACCCCCTTGCACTAACAAACAGATGCAATGTCTCGTAACTGCTGTCACAACTATAGCCTCCCAAGCACCACACAACTGCCAACCCTTTCTGATAACACCTCGGTGCTGCTTTCCCTCCTTGACATATCACTTTTCCCTCGTCATCTTTGAACAGCATATAGAAACATCCTTTGCCGAACGTGGACCTCACGGTATGTGGACAATTGTGAGCAATACGACAGATGTATTTAGTTGACTCCCAACTACCTGGACTAAAGCTGATCTCAAACCCTCGTTTGAGCTATTTATTGTAGCACGGAAAGAGGTCAACGGGAGGCATGAGATAGCCACAAGAACTGTAAGATCCTGGATTGATCAAGGAGTGCCCGTTGTTGGTGAGACTTGGATATGCAGAAAAGAAACCATCTCCCAAAATGAAGTTCATAATGGCCATCAAATGGAAGTGAAAGATAGACGTGATGCTATGATTGGTGCCAGACACAACGACATTGACGGTGCAACTTCTGTTGCACATAGTAATCACTCCTGTCATTCCAGCCTGAGGTTTGTACCTTGACTTGTCCCTTCATCAGGAAAAATCCTTTTGCTATATAGTGCTATATAGCCACCACCTATATATATAAATGCATTCATAGAAACTATAGTACTATCAGTGCAATCATAGCTCTTATAGCTCTTATAGCATAGTAGTAGGCAAAATTTTAACCAAGGGGAGAAGTATCTATAATTCTCTTAAATTCTGGATTAATCTAATAAACTTGTTCAATAATAGAAAGAGGCTAAAAGTGTTTGGAGTCAAGTATATTATTATAGGCAAGGTACTATAAGTGCTCTTATAGCCTATAGCAGCCTACATAGCTCCTATAGCTGTGAAGGTCATAGTTATAATATAGTTCAAGGTGCTTAAAAGGGCTAATAAATCATACAGTATTAATTAATTATGTAGCCTGTATTGCTGAAATAGTAGTTTGTATCCCTGATACATTTTATAAGCTTTCATGGTGTAGTGGATAAATGTGATGTGTGGCTATAGGTTGCTTAGTCACCCAAAAGCTGACTAGCAGGTTGAGAGTTCAAATCCTGTCTGTGTTAATTTTTTTTATCAGCCACACAACAATTTTCAACATCTATAAGAGCATTTATAGAGCTATATGAGGACCTATAGATGGCAGAGGTTCTATAACAGGTTTGACCACTATAACAGCTTTATGAGTACTTATAGTGTTATAGAGCTCTAAATAGCTACCCCCATTTTTCCTGATGTTGTATGGCTGTAAATGATAACATAGCCTTCGATGTAGTAAAGTTATCGCAAAACCTTCTGAACGTGCTGTGAACCAACCTACCAGTCCACGTCACCAGCATGTTGTGCCATTGACAGAGAAAAGTACAATAGCGCAGTAGAACCAGATATAACACTATACATTGTATGCAGCAGGCAAAGGACGTGGACAGAATTTTGAAAATAAGGGTGCAAAGTGCAGATGAACCATTGGTACAGGTAACACTGCAAACAACTATAATTGGTGTGTGCAGTCTATCCATACATTGACAGATCAACAACACTCATCTCATCAAATACTTGTTCTACGAGTTCAACTGACATGTCTGCGACAAGAAAGCCGGGTACACCATTTGAAGACATTGCAAGGACTTGACACAGTAAGTGTCTCTTTTTATGCCAAGTGCCCTCTCTAAATCATCCTTACCCTCATTCTACGTGCACTGGAAACATTGTCACCCCAAAAATTGCATTTTCTCTATTTAAAAATGATCATGAACATTGATCAGCCCTCTTTTCATCCCAAATAAAGGGTTTTTTTGGGCTTTCTTAAATGTCTGAGCTTGCCGACTGTCTGTTCTCATCCGCCCATTTCCATGTCTTTCATCCAAGGTTCGGGTTTCTTAATTGCATCTTGCTGCACGTCACTGAGCATGCATCTACAGATACTACAGTAATTTTAGTGCATAACAAATGGCCACCGCAGTTTATGAAGCCTCTGCTTGAAGGGAATGAAGAGCATTAAGCGTGGGAGGTTGTCCCATCCACATTTGAAGATCTTTGCAAGTGGGCACATGTCGCCCAAAACCCCTCAGAAGTCAACAAAACCCAAAACCACCTTCTACTGTACAAGACTCCTTGCAGTGACGGGATCGAATCCCTATATCCAGTCACAATCCATGTTCAAGGTCTGTTGGGTAAATTCAACTTAAAGGTTTTTGGGTCTTGGACATGGTAAAGTCTTTCAACTTAACAATTTAATCCATTGTCTCCCCCTAGCGACTGGAAAACAATCCCTTCTGCCATTCAATATGTAAACCTGAAAGGACACAATCATTGGGAGCCATGGGTTCCTGCTTTGCACGCCATCAAGAACTTGCGTCAAATCATCTATGCTGCATTGGGTGATTACTAGCATGTTGAAGCAGATCCTTCCATAAACCACAACATATTCATGTAACACCGGGTTTTTACCAAGGTATGTGCTACATAGTTACATAAGTCAACTCAACTGAATATGCAAAGATCAGGAAAGATAATCAAAATAAAAAAAGTGTCCTCTTACCCTCCGACAATCCCTTTTGCTGGATGAAAGCGGTTGATTGTGCTTGGAGGGTTACAGATAAAGTCCAGATTGCATGGTGTGATGAGAGCGGTGCTATTGTGTCCTATTCATCAGCCGTCTTATCCATTGGGGACTTTGTCGACATGGGCTTTACGTTCGATATCAGCACAACCCGCAATGCATCTGGCCTTCACAAAATATGCGCACATCTCAACATTGAACATGTTTTGCAACTAGCAAAAGCTGCAGAGTTTGCAAAGGTGCGTGATATCAGAACTTGGGCATATCAATCTCTGACAGCTCGCACCTAGCCAGTTAGAAGCACCATATACTAAAACAACCTCAAACCCTAAAATTGAATACATGAGGCTCTCTTTGGCAACCCCTAAAGGACTCTGACTCCACCATATATTTTGGTAGATAGAACATTAATAAATTGTTTTTATTCGGCCTGTGAACTGTAGATATTTTGGCCCAACGAGTATTTAAATCACGCCTACCCCACAGGATTTTGAATAACTGATTGTTCCCCATTTCCTTCGGCGGCCCTTCCAACAAACAAGTCCATTATGATTGGAGATATTTTGGAAGTCCAGAAAATTATGAAATGTACGCTCCCCAAAATTTTTGGCCACCTCGTTTCTTTCGCTACGTAAAGGCCTCCACAAGCCCCACAACTTTCAATAGTTGGCATGTCCTCAAAATTATGAAATGAACACTCCTTAAAAAAATTTGTCCCGCATTTTTTTTCCTGCATAAACACATGTTCTACGAACACCAGCCCCTAAAAATTGGAACCCTTGTTGTAATTTCCTTCCCTCACAACGTCCTCTTGCACTGAATATATTGAAAAGGCCTCAACTTTACTTCATGGTGTGTCATTCACTTCCTTGTTCACACTACATTTTTTCCATTTATCGTCAACCACATTTTGTACTCTGTTGCTCATGGTTTCAAAGAGAAAGGCTGTCCATGCAGACATACATCTGTTACCACAGATTAAGCTTGCTAAGAAACAAAGGTAAGACTCCTTTTGCATCCCTTATTTCCAACTGACATTTGTACACACTCAGATTCAACGGTGACTCTGGCAACTCTTTGCAGCCGGGGATTACAGATGCCTCAAGGTATATACATTCACACCACACCTCCAATACAGTGCTTAACATGTAAGCCTTTACAGTAACTTTAACTCTAACATTGGCGAGGGCCAACTACGGTACTCCTCCTACACCCCACTGTACACAATTTCACTAACTTCTCTGTGTCCTACTAATCATTGTTGTATAGATGAGAATGAAAATACAACAGTTCACAAGTCAATCCCTGTGGTGTCCGAAAATGTGCCAGAACAAGCCCCTGCACTACAAAGCTCTGCCACTTTGGGAGACGGAACAATCACAGAAACTGTTGCCAAGACAAACGACCACACTGACACAGAGCTGGTGGCTATAGACAAGGCTCAACTTGCTATGTATGACACTCTGACGGTTGCGTACATTAACCACAAACTATTATGGGACTCACAACTAACTGCACTGCAGGTGTTTATGCACTTTTGCAAACTATTCTGATGCGAAAAACTTAATCTATGTGGTTGAAAATATTCCGCCCACGGCCACATGGGGCATTCCAAGCCTATTCACGACAAGTTCACACTTCTTTGCAATCCCTCGAGCAACATGCCCTGCACAGTGTGGCTGCCAGGTGTTGTCTCTTGAGTGTGGATGTTTGATCCCAAAGGCAAAACATGTGCCCATGTTAGTATATCCGTGGTTCCATTTGGTGTCAACACAGCAAGTGCCGCACGTAATGTAATTGACAACTTGTCCTTTCCAAATGGCGGTAAATATTGTTGTTGTATGTGAAACCGCATCACCTAACAAGACACATGATCTACAGATCCCAATGAAGAATGCTGGGGCGACATTAGAGCATCCCGTTGGCAATCAGCCTACAAAGCTCAAGAGAAAACTGTATGTGTCAACTGCATTTACAATATCCTATTCCTAACCCTTGTTCCAGCCAAAACCTTTCACAGATGTGTATGACGCCAGGAAGGTATTCAAACCCAAATCCAAAATGGATTACTACGGTGCCACAAACTTGCAAATGGGTAACACTGTACTTATGGAAGCGTACATTAAATGTTATTGCCTAAAAAGTGACATAGACAAGTTGACCCCCGTTAACAAATGCCCTTGGAGGGAGAGAAAAGTGTACTTTGAGCTGAAGTGTGTATCACTCATTCATACAACCTTACAGGATGACGAGGTGGAGGCTAAGAAAGACAAGCAACATATCCATATCTGAATGTAATACTACATATTACTACTCATGCTTATACAAAATTGCACCGTTGAGCAATGCTGAGCCGGAAATTTTTGGTGAATGACATCAGTAGACAAGTGACCCCTAACTTCAAATGATATTGCCAGCAATACATGCCATATAAAGTGACCTACTTCTTACAAACCCCTCTTTCCCCATATTTGTTGATGGCTTCCATTGAAGAAGTACTGCAGATTTCAAAATGTGTGCGTCGCACGTTGCCTGTGAGTCCACATTCTTCACCAATCACGTGCACCACTAATCATTAATCACTACTGGCAGGCCCTACCGTTTTCCAAGCTTTATACTTTGGAAAAAACTGCTTACGTCCCACTCTTGTGGACGTCAGCACCACTGAACTATTCCACTCCAATGTTTCCCCATCCGCAGTGATATACGAGCCATACCTGGTGCTGAACGCAAACTACGTTGACACGGAAGATGACAAATTCAGAGGAAGATCAGACAACAAAGAAGAAAGTGAAGTAGCAATAACACCTATTGCAGCCCAAGACTGCACCTGCTTTGAAACTGTCACACGGACATACCTTCTATTACGCTGGCCAATCCAATAACCTTTTTCTACCTAAAGCAGTCCACCAGCAAATTCCATTCCCAAGTGCGAGAAAACAAGCTTGTGAATGAAATCATACAGACACACATCCGTCAACAACATACATGGTATGGAGGTGTACTGTTAGTCAAACATTCCCAATGGCAACCAGACCACATCACATATGCAAATGCAGAAGACATTGCACTCTTCCATGTGCTCTTGGCAAAGTGAGTAGCCCCTGTTCTTTGTGATTGACTATGTGCCCATGATGTCACAGTGCGGTTGTGAATGGTGAAATGCACCAATAAAGGGCCTTGCATAAAACAAGGGTCACCCTAAAAATCCACGCACAATTCAAATTGGACTAATAAGGGGCTTTGAATTCCAAAAAATACGATGGCTAAAAGTGCGGCCTTTTCCCAAAAATGCTCCTATTTACATTTCAAATGTTAAGTTCTGCTTAAAAATCTCGTCATGCGCTGTGAGGAAATCATTCTCAAAATTTGTAACATGGACTTTGCGAAGTGAGTACATGACTGAAAAAACGCGCTGTTCAATATTGACACTACATATGCTGTAGTTTATCAATCTGCACTAATGAAATTGTGACTCGTAGTTTTTGCTCTGACAAGTACAACTCTTTCATTGCAAGGTATAACCCCTCATTGACACAACCACATAAATTTGATTTTCATGACAGGCAACTTATATCCCTTGCAAGTCTCATCAACACTCCTTCAAATATGTATGCGCTCGAACATCTACCGCTCACAGCCACCTGGGATTGTTACAACCAAAACGCAACACTTTGTAACCCAATCTGTGGACAACCTTACAATGTGGTGCTTGTCGGAGAGTTACAATTGCTGCACAAAGACGATGGCTGGTTCTATTCAATGTTATACCCATTCGGGATCAACATAATCTGGATGGCACATCGCATTTTATCAACACTGTCATCTGCACCACTACCTCGTTCAACCTCTGAAATGTTAGATACTTAGGACACAAAGAGGTAAAGTGCTCCTCAATATTCTGATGCGCTAAACTAATTTCAAGTTAAGATGAGGGTTTTTGATGCACATCATACCGTATGCCATGGTGACATCCTGGTAGCAGCATCTTTCTGTGACTTACATATTGGCGATGCAGTTGTCATCCAAGCTCAAATTCACAGATTTCCAACGGAGCAACCGACCCCTTGCGATCCTTGGCTTTTGTGGGAGTTTAATTTGATTATGTACCATATATACCTGGTTCAATCATAATTTCCGTGCTGTGTGTTGCTGCACCTTATGATCGGTTTCACTGCAATGCTGTCAACACTTCAAATTTCCTCTTTTCTTTTCTTTTCTTCCCGTCGCCCTCAAAACCCTTTGGTGCAGGTGGAAAACAGTGATTTTTGTAATCTTTTTGTTTCTTGACAACACTGTCTGAACCCTTTTTCTCCTGCCTGTTCAAATGTTGTTAAATAGCTCTCCTGCTCTCAAACAATCCCCAATTTCTCTACTTAGTTATCTACCTCTTTGTACCTCAATGGATCATGCAAATAATCAGATTCAGCATCAAGAAATCCAAGACGTGCTACAAAGTGACTGTGACTACATCCTACGTATTAACCCTTCTTGACTGATGTTGCCCTTTAGCATTCGGTTATCCTTCTTGTTGCCATTGTGTCAATCCTGCAAACACTCTACGGCCATCTCATACCACTTCTCTCTCAACAACAAAGCACCCTAGTATGTATCCCAATCCTGTACCTTTAATTAGCCACTTAATCATACAAAACCAGACTTGACATCAACTGCACAGAAATGTTTGACATACTACATAGCTAGCTACATGTCTAAAGTATAGTATGTATGATTCCGTGGGAAATATCATCAACGCAGGGACCAGGTTTGCCCAGAGGGCCATCCTATATTGATTAGCCTGGATTAGTATCACACTAGGCGAGGAAAGAATTAATCAGATGCTGCACAGAATGGAAAATGAAACTTACAGCTTTTGAGTGCAGCTACGGTGTCATCAAGTTGACAATCATGAGATCCAGCAAACTTGAACTTGAATTTCAGTGTTGCACAGCAGGCAGTTGACAAGAGTTATGTGTGACTAGTGTCACACTAGATAAGTTCTAGGTTGAGGCGCGGCCTATATTGTAAATCAAGCTTGTGATAAGATAATACAAACAGTGGAGGGAAATATTTTGGGAATTTTTCTAATCAACAGTTGCAGATAAATGAGAATGATAATCTTGGAGTATTTTAAAATATTATCACTATAAATCTGCTGGTTCAATGGTGGAGAATTTTAGAATTAATTCTCTGAGAATATTTTAAATATTTTCTCTGTAAAAATCTTCATATTTTATCGGCATTGAGGGTGATTCTTTTGACAATATATGCAGATTAATTGCAAAGATTATACTGTGAAATGACTTTAATTTTTTTCACTCTCAAAGCCGCAGAAACAGGTAGCATTAATTGGGAATTTTAGTATAAAAATCATCTATTTATTTTCCTGGGTCATTGGCAGCACCTAATAATAAAGATATCTGTATATGATGCCATTATAATCCCAGCTCATATAAGCCAATGCCTGTGGTGGGAGGCCTTCATCATAGCATCAGTGCATTCCATCCACCTGAAGGTAAAACTCCCTCTTTTAGCCAGCTTTACATTCACGACCCACAGACTGCCCTTTTTTTTTACGTAATAAGAATAAAAGGGGGCATAGCACTACACCAGCAACCATGCCGGAGATCCAGGATACCCTGGAGCAATCCAATCCATTCAATCCATTCAATCCATTCATCCTGTTGTACAAGCAAGCTTATCAGATCATCATGGAAAAGCCTGAAGCAGAAAGTACCAACATAACAGCCCATATAGCTCTTGACCAAACTCTGGACCAAAGTTGTTATAATCTTCCTACTGCAGATGACGTTGCTGCTGTTATCCCTGGAGATGGAGAACACAATGTTGATGAGGACTGTGATATTGTTTTGCAGCTGAAGCAATTTGATCATGGTGGTGGTCTCAAGCATATCAGCTATTTGTACCCCCTTTATTCACCTCTGCATTATGTCCTCCTATTTCCCTTTGGAGAACAAGGGTGGCATAGGACATTACAGTCCATTCAAAATGCTGATGGAAATATATGCAGTGAATATGTCTCCCAGCCGTGTTATTATGCATACCATCTTCATTCCCAAAGAACCAATCAATCTAATCACTTCTATGGAAAGCTACTTTGGGAGTATTGCGTTGATGCATGGGCTTCCACAGAAGAAAGTGAATTGAAGTGAGTCCATCGTTATCAAAAAGACATAAGGGCAGACCTTTACAAAAGTGTTAAAGATGCTATGGATCAAAATGATGGGGAAATAGATTTGGGTCAACAGGGCCAGAACATTATCCTACCATCTTTTCATTGAAAGTACACGGCACATGTACCAGCTCTTCTAGGACTCCATGGCTATATGTTGCCACTGCCACAAACCTAATATTCTCCTTACAATAACAGCAAACACCAACTGCTGGTGGAGTTCTTCTAGGTCACCAAGGACACATGGGAGCAGTTTTTGAGTGAGTTTGCTGCAGGTGGGGCCATAGATCGAGCAACTGATACACAATGTGAGCAAGCATGGATGAAAACTATAAACAATGATAATGAGGGAACACTGGGGACATACTGTATATCCGCCAGACAAGCACCAAGAATGACAATTGATCAGTTCAATGCAAGGCTTTGATACAAAAGAAACAATACCAGCTCATATATCAAAAATATTCTTCATTCCTTGGTGGATCAAAAACTCCTTCAGAAAAGAGCTTGTGAGAAGGGTTCCGGTGGTCATCAGAAGAAGCTGCACCTCACACAGGCATAGTATGATCAACTGGTAGCTGCAAAGAAGCACAAAAAGGACAGATGCAAACAGGCAAAAAAGGACGCAGCTGATGCCAAAGTTGCTGCCGCTGTACCTCGACTTGAAGTTGCAGCTATACCGAAGACAACTGTTGCATGGGTCATGCTGCAGTTATAATGGCACCAATATTTTGGTTCAAAGGTGCCACCAAACAGTGAAATTGGCATGCTGAAGGCTGGGAATGTGAAGGCATTGGAGGCCACCATCAAGTGTTATAATTCTGGAAAGGCTTGCCCGTGTACTCGTGTTGCTTGTGAGGTTGTTGAAGAGAGTGGCACAATAGATTTAGCTTCAGAGTCAGGGGATAGTAGTGTTCAATTGAGAACTTCTGGGAAATGTCTAGCCACTTGCTGAGAGCTAACAGGGACAGAACTAGAGTCCAGTATGAGTAACTATATTATCAGAGAGTACAGAATGTGTACAGTACCTAGAGTCCAGTATAAGTAACTAAAGAACAGGAATACTGGACTCTGCAATACTAGTCCGAAGTTTTCTAAACAAAGGTAAACAAATCAGCCACAAAGGCGAAATTATAGAATGCTCAGTGAATACTGAACAATACAGCAAAAAGAATAAAGAGGAAAGTGATTCAGAAAGAAGGGAAAATAGATAGCACAACTAGGTGCAGAATCACCAAAACTAATACTCCCCCCTGATGCTGCACCTCCCAAGCATTAGCTCCCCCCTGATCTAACAAGTCCTATCATCTGTCTGAACATTTCAACTTTAGGCTTAGCCAGAGCCTTGATCAACAAATCAGCAGGCATTTCAGCAGTGGGCACAAAGGTGGGAGCAATTTGGCCAGAGCCAACAATATCTTTCAACCAATGCCAGTGTAAATCAAGGTGCTTCATTCAACCATGGTGTTCAGGATTCTTGGACACAGAGATGGCAGATTGGTTGTCAATGTGAAGGGTGGAAGGAGAGGTAATAGGATAGCCCATTTCCTTCAGCAGATTTCGCATCCAGCAGATCCCCTTGCCAGCTTCAACAGCAGCAATATATTCTGCCTCAGTGGTGGAAAGAGCAACAATGCTTTGAAGTTTGGAACTCCAAGAGACAGCACCAGATCCAATCTTGACAAGGTAAGCACCAGTAGAGCGTCCAGAGTCCTTGTCACCACCATGATCAGCATCAGAGAAAGTGGTGAAGAGTTCAGTGGAATTAGGATCAGGGCCAAGGACAAGTGAGTGATTGAGGGTGCCTTGCAAGTAGCGGAATAAGTGCTTGACAGCACCCCAGTGGGTGGGCCCAGGATTGGAATTGAATCTGGCAAGAACTCCAACAGTATAGGTAATGTTAGGACAAATACATCAGAGCACCAACAGCAGCAAGATAGGGAATGTCCTTCATCAGTTGCACTTCTTCTGGTGTCTTGGGAGACATATCCTTGGTGAGGCGTAAACTGTTAGAATATACTCTGACATACCAATACCCCATAGGATAATACCTCTGATTTGTAAGCCAGCCCAGTATGCAGCAGCTATTCTGTGTAATACGTCCGTGGTTGCATGTCATGTTTAAGATCCTACATTGTATAACCTTGGCCATATAGCTCAATTAGTAGAGCAGCTGGCATGTATCCAGAAGGTTCCAGGTTCAATCCCTGGTCTGGTCATTTATCCAATTTTATCATAAACCAGGGTCCATTGGAGTGGACACAGGCTTGCAGTCCTTCATGCCAAAGCGCTCCAGAATGTCCAGAGTGTACTGATGTTGGGAGAGGGAGATGGTGCGATTGCTGAGGTCTCCGGTGATGGAAATGCCAAGTAGGTAGGAAGTAGGGCCAAGATCACGAAGTTTGAAGTGCTGAGCGAGTGTCAGGGTGTTGTAGAACATGGTGGCGGAGACTGGGAGGAGGAGCACAGGGATGGGGACCAAGAGGAGCATGAGGGTGGGGGCCAGAAGGAGGAGCATGGGGGCGGGGGCCAAAGGGGGGTGCACATTGTGGAATATCTGGCTGGTGATCCCCAAGAGAAGTAGTGCTTCGAGTATGGTTACGGAATGTGGCTTCTTCAACCAAATCCTGGTGTTTGATATAGTTCCTCTTCTGCTATTCCACACAGTCTCCTAGAACATGCAAGGAGTTACCTCGTATATCCTTCACCAGTGGTATGCCCACCTCCTTTTTGGGTTCTTCTTGCATCTAAAGATATGATGGAAAAATAAAATGATTAGCAAACATTCTCTTAATGTCTAAGAGATACATGCCTGCATCCCATTTCACAATAGCTGGGTATACTACTTGAGATTTTGAACCCATACAATGTCATATATATCCTGTGGTCAACCTTGCAAGTCCATGGGACCCCAAATCCCTGAAGTTGAAACCTGGCCTAGGGACCGGAAGGACACCATCTGGCCAGTTTAGAATGACTATCTCGTGTTTCCGGGCGATCCTCAACCAATGTTTCCAGTGTACCTTCTGCACGTCAATGTTGGCCAACTCTAAAAGATTTCATTTAATTGGTTGGTACACAAAATAGCAAAACTTACAAAGACCTTTGTGCATTATTGCTGTGAATGCTTGTCTATCACAATCACACGCCAACTCTCCTGGCCAAAGTTGAAAACCTTTGGAAGGGAAGACAGGTATCTCGGGCAATTTTTGATTGCCTAGATTTTTAAATCTGCAGCAAGAGGATCAGTAAAAAAAAAGCGGAACAGATCAAATATGCACTTAAAGACCGTAGTAAGATAATCAACCATTTGCCTGATGTCAATTTCACGCTCGTCAATGAAGGCCTTGACTATATGGGAGCCTCCAAAAACCCCTAACATCTGTTGGCCTGCATGTTCTGTCCCTGTATAGATAACAGCTCCAAAATTTTTTATGTCTTCTAAATTGCTGCATGCTTGTGCCTTTTAGACTGGTTAATATTAGTTTTGAGATTCAACAATGGTTCATACCAACGCTGAAAACTGATTTTTTGCTGCTAGGACTGAACTAGTAATAGCTTTCAAGGTTTGCTTGTTACCGTCTCCAGTCTTGATTTCATTTTGCCTGCTTGCACCTTTCCTTTTTGTGCTTCTTTGCGACTACCAGTTGATCATACCATGCCTGTGTGAGGCGCCGCTTCTTCTGATGACCACCAGAACTCTTCTTGCAAGCTTTTTTCCAAAGTAGTTTTTGATCCACCGAGGAATGAAGAATATTTTTGATATACAAGCCGGTATTGTTTCTTTTGTAGCAAAGCCTTGCATTGAACTGATCAATTGTCATTCTTGGTGCTCATCTGGCGGATATTTGGTATGTCCCTAGTGTTCCTTCATTATCATTGTTTGTAGTTTTCATTCACGCTTGTTCATATTGTGCATTGGTTACTCGATCTATGGCCCCACCTGCAGTAAAGTCACTCAAAAACCACTCCCATGTGTCCTTGGCACCCTGAAAGAACTCCACCAGCAGTCCTCAAATTTTTGGAAGCATCAGGATCAGCCTTTGGACAGCATAGAACACCTCCAGACGCTTGAATGGCTGGCCATTGAGGGTTGCAGTTTGATATCTTGCATCAGGTGCCGGGGCAAGGTCAGGATCAGCAACAATTGCTGTGCAATGGGCAATCATTATGATGAGAAAAGGTTCCAGGTCCAAAATATTGGTATGTTCTTGTGTCGGACCTCTCACTTGTTGCATGCAAGGAATTGTGATAATCTGGGAGTAGATTGCAAGGGGATATATCCTGAAGTCCATCTCTGGGTCAAGTAATCTGGTGAGAACATTCTTCTTGATGTTCCTGAAGGTATATTTTTCCTTTTTGTCCTTGACAACCCCTAGGAAGCTAATGAGGAGTTCATGATGAATGATCCAAACAGTAGCTGCATCGCCATAACTCTGGTATTGAGTGTTGCTCGTATCTGGCCATTGAAAGGTATAGCCAAGTTTGGCCTCCATGTAGAAGCATAATGTGTCCTGCTGACCCTTCTTATTGTCCTTGTGACAAAAAATAGCTCCAACAAGGCTCAGTACTTTGATGGCACCCCTCTTGGAGACCTCAATCCCCCGCAACCTTGCTGCTGATGGCCAAATTGATGCTGCGGCAGCATTGTCCTTGTTCAAAAGCTTTGCAGGCCCCAGTAGGTCATGTTTTTTCCAGCATCCTGACATTCTGGTGTATCCTCCTTTGACGGTGTTGAGCCCCTTGTGCATGAAGCATCCCGCCCACACAAAAAATGTTGCGGCATCTTTCTCAATGTCCAACAGCCCATCAAACTCCTTCTGGCCAATTTTGATATGTACCGTGCAAAGTGCCACTGATAAATGGACTTCCCTTTCCCCATTCAATAATCCATGCCATAATTCCAGCCCCCCTGCTGCTGAGATTATTTCCTGGGTCGCTTTGCCAACTGATTGTGCATGATGCTTTTCTTGTTCCATCAGTGTATTTGATAAAGCTGAAAGTCATTTATTGCCATCAATGAACGGGCCTCCTTTCATCATCTGATAAACACCTCCAGCTCTCTACACTTACTGCATTAAACATGGGTGCTTGGCCAGCTTGTTGAGCAAGGCTCTGTACTTCTTGTGTGCAAGGTTTGACAGTGCCTTCTCTCCTCGGGTCTCTTGGTTGGCTTGACTTTGTACATCCAGTAACAGATGCACAAACTTCTTTTGATCTCTGGCACGGTCCGTGGATATACCTTTAACTGCAAGATAGAATTCTCGGGGGTCTGCCTGGTATTCTTTTCCCCTCGAGGACTCATTGTAGGTCCTGTACATCTCCAGTACGAGTTCCCACCATCCCTTCAACTGAGTCTCACTTGTATGATTGATAGCGGAGTAGACACCAATTGCACAACTGACTTTCTCACCACTTGATGTGGTAAGCATGATATGGCGGGACTTGTAATTCACATTTTTGTGAGTTGTACTGTCTTAGCTTAGTGTAATGCCTATCAAAGCTGATTCAGTCTATTTTTAGGTAGTTGCAACATTGATATTGTACCTTTGGACCCAACAATATCATCCACCCCCTGTATATTGGCCGCTTCACCTCCTTTTAATGCAATTTGTCCTATACTGCACTTACTTGCTCTCCCCTCAACAGTCACACCCACGGCAGCTGTAACCACGGACACTACTCCTTCTGCATGGGCAACCGGCACGTTGTGGAGGGCCACAAGGTCTCTCAGCATTCCCCTAGCTGTTTTGGTGGTGTTTCCTTTCTCCCTCATCATGAATGTGCCCGGGCCTGTTGCTTTGACCTTTTCAATAGCCTTCTTTGATGCTTTTCGGACTGTATGTGCCTTTTGCTTTGGAGCTCGTGCAACCTGCATTACAGGTGCATGTTTCCGTTTTGACAACACTAAATTGTGTTCTTGTGCATGCTGTAATACTGTTTTTGTTATTGTAAGTTCCTGCTGTGTTGCTGTATGGGTTGTAGCTTCTTTGATGTACGTAGATTTGACCTGCTGCAACTGCTGCCGAAGATCATCAACAGAACTTCAAGCTTGTTTCGATTTTTGGCGCTCATTACGGTACTTCTTCTCGTAAGTAACCACCTGTACGGTCTGAAGTTGGAGATTGAGCTGATGGTTATTTTGGGAAGCGGGGCTGGGCCTTGAGAGTGCTAGAAGTATTAAAGGTATTGTTTTCCTTGTTTGAGTGATTGCAACTATGCAAGAGTGCAAGTTGATATTTCTGTCCTCTGGTTCACTTTTTAGAGGGTTTCCATCGGTTTTGATAGTGAATGAGGGCCATGCACCACAGATTCAGTGCCTTGTGACAAAACCGGATAAACCCGGTCTCTGCCAAAGCAGCCATTGTTCTCCATGGAGCATAGCCACCACTCCATGGAGTAACCATTCTTCTCCTAGGAGTCATTATACTGTAGCAAGTAGCACCTCCGACTATAAGTCGTTTCTATAGCCTCTCGGACAGCGGCTGAGGTATGTTACATTACATTTATTAGAGATCACCTTAAACTAACATCTATTGTAGTTTCACTTAGGTAAATAATAAAGTCATTTCTATAGCCTCTCGGGCAGTGGCTGAGTTTTACTTAGGTTTATTACCTTGTTGACTCGTTGACGTGGGCCAATTTGCTTATATAACAACTAATATATTTGAGTGCGTCAAAGCGTACATTTGATGAGAATTGAATGAGTAAATGTAGTGTCCATAAGAAAACTTTGAAATTATATCATCCAACCTCACTGGATAGCATGTTTTTGTGCAAGACACGAGCTTTTTAGAAAATTATTGTGAAGATTACACGCAGGTATCGAATTCCTACCAATGTCTCCATACAAAGTTGACGCTATTTGCACGTCCTACGTGGATATGCTTGGTGGCCACACATTTCAGTCACTTCCCCTACATGCTTTCTCACCAACAGAGTTCTCAATTAGCATAGCATTGCCTATCCCCATTGTGAATAAAGAAAGTTGTTCCCTCATTATGGTGGATTGACTGCATAATGATATCAAAAGCATTCTGCTGCTCTTGATTGAGCCTCTCTACATTATCTTCAACCTCCATAGTAAAATCAAATCTGTCATAATTTTGCTGCTCATGGAGAAGATTGTTTGCAATAATAGGCTCCCATTGTTGCTGAGGAAAAGGCATTGGTGGGAAGTTTGAAAGACACTTGTGGGATTAAGTGGATATGGATTCCAGCAAGAATAGCCCATAATCATAAATCTGGTCTTCTGAAGGTTGGGCAATCCCTCCTTGAAGAAGGTAATGGTGTAAATCATCACAAATCTGGTGTTTGTGCCGGTTCCAAAGGTTTACAGGCTCATTTGGGAGACATTGCAGTAAGATAACTGCAAAGAGAGCATGGAGTTCAGGGCCTGTCTGCATATCTCCTGCTTCTGCCAAACACTGATCTCATTCACCATTGTCTTCTAATAGGCCACGTGCAGCACATGCAGCTTTGTAAGTTGAATGTAAAACCCCATCAAATATGTGCAGATCTTCCCAACTCTCTGCTCCAGGGAGCACAGTGAGCACTGTACGGAGGTAGTGTTCAATTGAGAACTTCTGGGAAGTGTCTAGCCACTTGCTGAGAGCTAACAGGGACAGAACTAGAGTTCAGTATGAATATTATCAGAGAGTACAGAATGTGTACAGTACTTAGAGTCCAGTATAAGTAACTAAAGAATAGGAATACTGGACTTTGCAATACTAGTCCAAAGTTTTCTAAACAAAGGTAAACAAATCAGCCATAAAGGCGAAATTATAGAATGCTCAGTGAATACTGAACAATACAGCAAAAAGAATAAAGAGGAAAGTGATTTAGAAAGAAGGGAAAATAGATAGCACAACTAGGTGCAGAATCACCAAAACTAATAGGTAGAAGCACTCCTCTTGGCTTGGATGGACAAACATCATTCTCCCTATAGCAAACTTTTGTTTTCTTGGAGTCCATTTTTTGGCACCTTTGTTCCAGACAAAGTATTGAGGATAATTCTGATAAGGTATGTGATGACCTTCAGGGTGATCTTTGTTAGCAGTGAATCATTCTGTGAGTTGAGTCTTTGATGTACGGCTGTTATTGGGGATGGAGACGGTATGCATAATAACATTGCTGGGAGACATATTCACTGTGTATATTTCCATCAGCATTTTGAATGGACCGTATTGTCCTATGCCACCCTTTCTCTCCAAAGGGAAATAGGAGGACATAATGCAGAGGTGAAAAAAGGGGGTGCAAATAGCTGATATGCTTGGGACCACCACCATGATCAAATTGCTTCAACTGCAAAACAATATCACGGTGCTCATCAACATTTTGTTCTCCATCTCCAGGGATAACAGCAGCAACTTCATCTGCAGTAGGAATATTATAATGACTTTGGTCCAGAGTTTGATCAAGAGCTATATGGGCTGTTATGTTGGTACTTTCTGCTTCAGGCTTTTCCATGATGATCTGATAAGCTTGCTTGTACAAAGGGATGAATGGGTTGAATGGATTGAATTGCTCCAGGGTATCCTGGATCTCCAGCATGGTTGCTGGTGTAGTGCCATGCCCTCAATTATTCTCATTACGTAAATAAAATAAAAAGGGCAGTCTGTGGGTTGTGAATGTAAAGCTGGCCAAAAGAGGGAGTTTTATCTCCAGGTGGATAGAATGCACTGATGCTATAATAAAGGCCTCCATGGATACGGAAATTATAAGGTCCTGCAGCACTTGTGACAGCATGGTCTATCTTAACACCCAAAAATGTAAATGCAAAGGCATTGTTGTATGAGTGAACTTTGTCACGGGATTTACGTGCAGTAATGTCAACCCCACAAAACAGACAGTGTAGTGCAGCAGGTGCTTCCTGGAGAGGATCCAGCCTAACTTGACCTTGAAGGCAGCACACACCAAATTTTGGATGGATCCTGGAGGAACTTGTTGAGTCTCTCAGTATCCCAGTGTAAGGCTCCACAATTACGGCACTCTATGTCCATGTTGCGTAAAGTATGACAGTATAGAGGCTCTACATATGGTTGTCAGGCTTCCTGGCGTATCACCTGTGCTTGGCAGCGGTTGGCAATATTTCATTTGTTTGCAAGTCGTTGAGGCCTTGGCATCCTTGGTGTATGTCTGGCAGCTACCAGTTCATTTAAGTCCTTGCCTTGGCCTACAGCATCCCTGGCAGCCCTGTGAGCCTGATCTGCTAGCTTGTCTTCCCTCCTTTCAAGCTGTTCTTGAGCAGCTCTTTGGATTCTAATGAGTTGCTAAGCTTATAGCCCTTCATAACGCAGATCAGCATGCTGAGAATGCTGCTGTACCCATAGTCTAATTGTCTCCTGACGTTCAATTTCTCTTTCCTGGTGCATATGATTCTCAGCCAACTGCTGTTCCTGCTTTTGGAGCTGTATTGCTTCCTGGTGTTGAATCATTTGATCCTCAGCCTGCTCCTGCCTTTGTAGTCTATTACGCCGTTGATTAACCCGTTCTGCATGTCCATTTTGAAACCAATCTAATAGCCTCTTATTGTAGTCCACACCATGGGTAGCAAGCAACTGGTTACCCTGCTGCATTTGAAAAGAAGGCTGCAATTGAGGGTATGCAGGTCCAGCTAATGGCTGAGGCATGTGATTATCCTGTACACGACATCCAAAATTTGGTTGCACAATACTGATATTTCTCAAATCTCTACGGTCCAAGGGGTGCTCTCATCGCACACTTGGTGATGTCGTCTGTTGATGATGTTGTATACAATCTCTATCACAATGTTCACCACATTCTTGTTCAGGAGTCTGTGGAATATGTCTACAAATGACATCAATATATCAGTTAGTGGTTAATGACACATTGACAATACTACACATACTGCATATTTGAATTGCTCATATTCATATTTATGTATTTGCTATATACACTGATTTATTGATAATTTGGGCTTCTATAATTAATGTGTCAGTTTTAATTGAATCAGCACCATAAACTGTTATAAACTGTTACAATTGACGTACCAGTACCTACTTACACTTCACCTTTTTCATACTTTTACTTTTATTTTTCCAAGTCACATGACCAGTCATGTGACCATTTACTTTACTTTACATTTTCGAACTTTCATAGTCACATGACCAAGTCATGTGACACAACACCTGACCAGTGTCTAAACTTAGCATGTGAACAGTCACATGCTAGACATCGGACTTTAAACTTTATTTACAACTGTACAGTACCTCATGTATTTTAGTATATATACAGGAGCAATACATGGGGAAGGACTCAGTGAGTCCTCCTGTTGTCTACCAACAACTAACTTGTTGAAACCTAATGGGTAACCACTCCCACCTCTTCCTTTTCTTTTGAGTGTTGTTTTCATTGTGCTCCAGTGCCCCAAGACTGTGTCTTGTTGGTGTTGTCACATAAACTCACATTGTGTAAGCTGTGTTTTATTGTGTGTGTGGGGAAGGGTCTTTGATTCTATTTTTATGCACACCACAGTGTGGTCAATAATGCCTGTTAATTTTTGTAATGCAAAATGTGCAAATTCTCGACAACAATTTGTTTTGTGTGTAGGGCCAGACCACTTCCCCACATAGTTGGAAAAGAGGTTTGTTTGGTTGAGTTGTGTCACATTGTGCCACAGGCATGAGTTTTGGTGTCCACTATATTGTGTTTTGTAGTAAAAATGATTAAGCATGAGAATTTTCAATATGGCTATGATTTTCACCACAAATTGTTGAATGTCCTTATAAGTATGAGAGTTTTCAATATGGCTACAATTTTCACTACAATTGTTGAATGTCCTTAGAAGCGTGAGAATTCTTCAGTGTGGCTATGATTTTCACTGCATTCACTACTACTGTACTGCTGCTCCTGTGTTGCCACAAAAACCACACGAGCGAAACTAAGCGGAATAACCGACGCAATGTGGCTCACACGTGGCATTTGGGACCACTATCCCCTTTGTTATAGATTCTGTTATACCACAGCCTCTGGAATACCTGGCCCAATTGCAACCATGACCATTTGGCTTTTTTCCAATCAAGTGTCTGTCTGCAAGATCCCTTAGGAAGTGGACATTGACGTCTCAGACATTCAGAAAACATATTTACAGGACTGATCTCAAATAATGATTTTCTATATAAACACCTTTATATCACTGGAGAAGCAATACAACCATCATATTAGGTCCTATTGCACACCAGAGCTTAAATATCACCGACTACATCTTAGGCTTTATGCCTCTTCATGACATATCTTCTCTAGGTGGGACATCTCGTGCCAACCATTCAGTCGCGGTCAATTATGTGATAAGGTGTCACAATCATATTGTTCAAGATCATGTGGAGCATGCCAATGAATTGTTCAATGTAATGCGACGGTGCAAGGCGATCATCACAGGTTCTAGCGCGCTCTGGATGTTGTTACTGAAGCACGGAACACTATGGTGAGCGATGTTACAATACACAATTTTTGGACCTTTAAATTTCATTCTCCACTTTAAGTTTCTTTTATAGTTTTCATGCACTGTGCCATGCGGCACTTTCTATTTTGTTCAAACTCCACTTTCTCGTGCTGCACTGCTTTCCTTTATTCTTAGCTACAAGTCTCTCATGCAGTGGAGCTGGTCATGTGGGCTGTGCCCTATGACATCATCAGCCACTGCCTTCATCAACTGTATAGTACACATGTACAAATAGTCTGTAGATGTATATAAACCCCAATAGATCAAGGAGACTCCTCAGTGAGTCCTCCTGTTGTTTATCCACAACTTGGTCCTATCATAAGGGGTAACCACTCCCACTCACTTCACTGCAGCTTGTCTGAGTTGTGCACCAGAGTATATAAACTCTTGGTTGTTACAAGCGAAGCATATAGACATTTTCACACCACTGGACCACAATCAAGCTCTAGTCGTATATTTTCTACCTTTGCCCGGGTTACTCGGGTGCAGCGTGGGTCAGAACAGGTTGGTATTGTATGCTCTGCAACAACCAGCACAGTGACATCTATCCTTCATTTCCATCTTACAGCTGTGATGAATTATGTATCCAATGTATTCTTCTCTGCCTATCCAGTCTTGACAACACAATACAAGACTTTGTTGAATCTTATGATCATTCCGGCAACTGGTGTACAAAATAGGATGTATGTCAAAGTGTCTCGCAAAATACCGAGGACATGGCTTTGATATAATAAATGTTGATGCTTCAAATGAACAGGCCCAAGTGCTCTCTCCAAAAACACATCACTGTCACTCCTCAATTGAGTGTGCACAGACGTTGCAGTGAACAATTGATCAAAGATGCACAATTTTCATTTTCAAGATATGTAGCACAGGAAACAATAGTGAGTATGGACAAAAGGGTGAGCCTGAATGTGAAGGTGTGACTTGGAGCTTTGCGGTTGTGAATTGCAATGGCAAATTTAGAATGTTGTGGCCATTCATAATTTTGTATGAGAAGTGCGAGGCAGTGATGGGGAGTTGAGGGTCATATCTCTAGTACTAAATAGATACAATCATTACACACAAGCTCACCATAATTGCAGTCTTTGGATCAGACATTATGAGTTTGGGCGGCATTAAAGTCTTGCACATACTTGTAAAAAAAATCAAGTATCTATATGATGAACAGGTGTTACATATACAGTTACAGAGGTGCCCCAAAATAATATTATACAGAAGCCATCACAATACAGCTACATCATAAAATCAGTGATGTCATTGGATATCAAAAACAACATACCTTACCAATGTGCAACTGATTGTCCTTGCATCAACAATATCTTTGGAATTAGAGGTGATTCACTATTTGATGATGTTGGACACAATAGCGCTGAGCGTGTTAGCTGTGATGTGTTTAAGGAGACAGACTAATCACCTTATTAATACAGTAACAACTAGATTTACATCTTCAGCTCTCATTTCAAATATGAACGCTGGTGTTGTTTGTAATAGTCGAAGGACGAGGATATTACCACAAAAAGTACAATCAATACTGTGCTCGTTTCCAAGCAAGTGAAGCAGATCATTTTTGATGATGATTGGCCTAAGTGACAAGACAGCGACAAACAAACTTTCCAATAAGAGTTTGGGTAGCATAGGATGGTGACACAATGTGAATAGCTGTAGGTCAGATGAATCAACAGAGATGTTGCCTTTGAGGAATACCCATTAACATAGTGCAAGCTTCTTGATGCTGATGTTAAAATCACAATTCTTCATTAAAGGGCACATAGAACAAGGCAGGACAAGGACTTTGGGAGCTGTACAACAGTCATTTAATGTATGCCACACTTGTCTAAACAATAATTTCATGAGTTTATCACAATAAATTGAGACATAAAAAACAGATAGCATCGCGCAGCCATGCCTTTTTAAAATTTCTGCCAATATTGATGCCATGAGCATCTGCAATGCCATGCAAATCTGCAATGTAACAAAATTCAAAATGACTTAACAGTTCAGATATAGATGGAGGACTAACAAAAATGTAAGGACCTCTAGGATACAAAGACACTTCGTTCACACCACCCTTGAATACACAATAAAAATCAAAACACTGTTGTAGACATACATGCACTAGATATAAACAAAATCCCATCCTCGGACATTATTTTGTTGGACGTCACATACGGCAATATGCCTGTCACAATTATCACACACACGAGTAAACAACATAATACAGGTAAAAAGAGGCCCAAAATCAGTGAAGGTAGGAGAGTAATAAAGAAAGGACTTACTGATACTGGCGCTGCCAGCGAGCACATACTTGGCTGGAACAATATAATCCTTGCTTACACTGACTGCAAGTGCTTCAGCATATACACCCTCAAATAAACTGGGCAAAATCACCCACCTTGTTGTCTAATATTGTCACAAAAGCCTTCTTCTGTGGAAGAGCTTGCCACACTATTGGATATCATGATGGTAGGAGCAAGGAGTAAACAATAGGGAAAGGGGCAAAGCAAGTTCCAAAAAGTCAGCCATATCATCACATGATTAGAATTACATAAGATGGCGGCCCAGAGATGCCTGCAAAAAAATCTAGGACAGGATTTTCTATGGTGCTCTTCATTTAGCCACCACTTGTTTTGTGCAATATTCCCACCCCTTTAAGAAAAAATCTGATTTTAATTTCATCTTACCAAAATGATCCTTTTGACAAGAGGAACAAAACTGTAAGAGCGATCTTTTATTAGATCAAATTTGGCAGATATAAACATTTACAGAGGGGGCAATTTGGCCAGCACTGTGATTCTTGCTGCATGCAGTACAAGTGTGGGTAGAAAGTAGGGGGATTAGAACGAGTGGGTGGTGGCAGCATGGCATTGCCCTTGCAAAGGGGCTCATCAGGGGGCTTAACCACTACCCCAACCACCCGACATGAGTGTGACCAACTACCCTCTTTTGATAGAGTTGTCTACCGGAGTCCGGTCTCGATGCCATGACCGATATACCAAGGGTACACTATCTTTTTGGGTTCTGGCTGTGCATCCTACAACTAGTTGGCCAAGAATGGGGCTCTCTCCCACACCAGGACTTTCTTTGTTGGGCAGTCTGTACATAGTTCTATCACATGACGCGGTGCACATGACTAGGATCCCTTTGGTGCCGTGGGACAGTAGCTCTTCTCACTGTGGGGATCGACTTATATAAGCCTAGCTTGTATGCTGAAAATATTCAATTTTAGCTTTTTTCAGCCAATCAGAACGCAGATATCCAATATCTTCAGCATATCAGCTGAGCTCATATAAGTCGATCCCCACAGTGTCTCCTAAGATAGGAGCGACGTCCCTATTTCTGTTGCTGACAAAGTCATAGATCCAAGTCCAGCTCCATGGGCGTGTATCTGGGTTTGGCATGGTCTGCTGGTGCAAGATGCATGGCCACTGCACCAAACAAGCGGCGCCTAAGTGAAGAGCACCATAGCCATACCAGTTCCCATTCTGGGCCAGGAACATCGAGCCTATGATGTGACGTGACAACAAAATTTCCTGGAAGTTACCGAACGAATCAGTGTAATTAGTAGTTTTTACAACTGCTTTTACCAGTGTCAACAAAATCTGCAGGTGCAATGGTTCGTAGGATTGCATCCCAGGTTCACAAGGAAACTTCTCGCTTGATGCGCGCAGGTTTCATCAAACAAGAGCCCTTGTGGTATAAAGCAGTTTTGGACCATCCTCCTTTCCCTTTACCCCCGATGGCTTCATGTCTGGACAAACAATCTTACCTCCAACGGCAGAGCATACACCCCTTTGCTAGGTTGAGATCTCCAAAGAACGTCCCACTCCCAATCCGTTACTTAAAAGACGAAGTTCGGCGACAATTCTTCCGCGATCATCCACTTGAATCTTTCCGACCTACTTCCCTAGTTGAAAGCCGAGAAGCAGAAAAGGAGCATCTAGTAAGGGGTAACAAATGGACCAGGCTTAGTCAAAGAAGGAAAAACCCTACTCCTGAGGAGTACGTTCATCATGCATCTATCATCCTTTATTTTGATAAACTTATGTGGCGTTGTCACAGTGCTGTGTCCCTTGTGGTGAACCTCTACAAGCATAATAAAACCTCTCTGAGTAACGCATACACAAGAGCTATCGCACAATTCCGCTCCCTACGTTCTGAGCACGAAGTCACTTCCGCCTTCGCGGTCATGGAAGCACAAGCATACGGTGCAATAATGGGACTGTCAGAGAGTCAACGAGCATTTGAAGATGAAAAAAATCACTTGGAGACGTCCCACCGTAAGGCAGAACTTAATCGAAGCATTATGGTAGCCCGAAAGCGCTGGCAAGCTGTACTTTGCATTGCAAGCTGCATGGGAAAATTCGAGTCTTGGGACAAGGGACAGGCATATATCGGCTTGTGGAGCAGAGGCATTTGCCCTACATATGTCCCTGCGCTTACGGAGCCCGAAAGCATAGCAGGATTGCTACTCCCAAGTAGCCTTGGATCAACCAACCATGACTTCATGGGTTTAACGCAGAAGTCACTTTGTCTAGAATAATTTCTTTCATTGCGACCCGCTTCCTAATGTAGTTTCAATGATTTAGTATATTCTCGTTCCCGATGAAATGGCTAGGTTATAAAAAGTAAATCAATCAGTCTACTCCTTCACTCGTGACTGCGCAGCTTGCGCAGCATTCATGCCCATCCATGTCTTCTCCACCACACCTAACAATTTTTGCATGTCGGAACTCCAGTCATTCATCACGTCTTCCGCCCTACGTTTGCTATCGAAGTTGATTATCCCAGTCGGTCGGTCCATACGGGCCCAAATAGTGCCAGAGACAACTAGACGTGCCAATATTTCCTCGGTTTGCTGGGGAGTGAGATCAAGCAGTGCTGTAAGTCGCGGGAGCATAATTCGTGTATAATAATCAGCTATGACACGGATGTTCTTAATCTGCATTAGCAGTGGTTTCTCGAGCCAATATGAAAGGAGCCTACATGCTCAATGACACGAGTATGCAAATCTTCCCATTGCTTGGCCTCTGAGAAAATAGACGTAGTCCGTAAAAATGGACCATATAGAGCTTCAATTCCCGGCCATCGCATGAGTTCACGTGTCACAAAACACTTCACCAGGTTACTAGGTGATCATTCAGGCGGATCGAAGAGTAATTATTGATATGACTCACTAATGCAGTTCCAGCTTCGAAAGAGCCGGGTCGTTATATAAATGATGCAATATATCAGATTGCTCATTGTTATGCGGTGAAAGAACTACGTAGTAGACTATATGCTCAAGAGCCTAGACAATGTGTTAATAAGAGAAGCTAATCATGGGAAGTGAGAACCCACCGATCGCCCTTTACCGTTTGCATCCACCTTGATTGAGGGTGTCTCCCATATTTTATAATAATATTTTGCTGCATCTATATATGCACATTGATGTAGAGCATGCTGAATCATGAGGTCATAAAACTTGAGCTTGAGATCCTACAAGAAAGAGTCAGTATATTGAGTCGCAGTATACAGTGAATCAAAGAACCTCATTTGCTCCTTCTTTCAGAAAGTCTTCGTTGACCTTTCGTCCTCCCACACGAACTTTGACCCACAGCGGTTCACCACTGCTAAGCGAGTCCTTTCCGCCTTTTTCAAATTTCGAATCCAAAATCCGCGCTACAGCTATCAACAGCCGCATTTGCTCCAGGATGAATTCTGTCTTCTCTCTTCGTTCCATCGAAGAGTATGTTTCGACTTGCAGATCATTAAGTAAATCTGACGCGATCTGTAACGATTGCACCGCGGACGGTGCAGTGGGGGTGGAACTCTTCGAGAGATATTCATGGTGATATGAAAGCAGGAGGGTTATTCGTGCACGGTGTGTTTCCAGAAATATCTGATGTTCCTTCCCATCAGAAAAGAACTAGCATACGATCACGATCTTACCTTGCCTTCTGTGACTGCTCGAAGAATTTCTACGAGCTTAAGCCACCTCTCAGTGCCCTCTCGCTCCTTGATGTCAATAAGCCATCCCATTGCAATTTCTACTATTGATTGCACAACGCCTTTGAGCTGACCATGCTTCTTGCTTAACAGGCTGATGCTTGCGTTCAGCTGAGAGTAATCTCGAGCCTCATAGCATTGTTGCACTATTGTATTAGCCAGTCGCATCGTTGATGTCAAGTCCGCCGCCTGTGAACCAAAATAATAGGTAAAATCGAGAGCGTTCTCTGAAATACATACATTTCTTGTCTGTTTCTCTAGCAGAAAAAGTTTGTCGAGAGCCTCCTCTAGTTTACCGGACTATCCGAATTCATGAATTAGCACCATACTCAGGTAACAAGCCTAATGAGCTTACCTGTGCCAGGATAACAGATTGCGGAAGTAATGTATCAACCTCTGCTGTAAAATCTCTCTCTTGTCTTTTTGCTTCTGACATTATGGAATCGCAGTACGACCTCAAATATGGACTGGTCGGTTTCTGACTTTCGAACTGACGCGTCTTCCGGTTGTTTGGCTTTGTTATGCGGTGGCCCGTATTGCGATTATGACCATACTCGTTAATGAAGTCCCACACTATAATCGGATTATTTTTCTCCTCACTATTCATTAATAAATTACTTTCAACGTCAGGAATCGCGCCTCGTATAGTTATAGTATTCGATTGTGCGCGAGACAATTGTCCATGATAATAACCCTACATAAGTGCCAGCACCGTAACAATGAGTAAAAAAGTCCATTGTATTAAAGATCTCATAGACAAACAGGAGGAGTATCGTGATCGAGAAGATCAGAGGAAGGAATCGAATGGGAGGCCGATGCGTGATTATCAGGCTCCGCCTCATTCATGTACTTCTTTCTTTGGGTATGAAGCATAGACAGGGACATATCAATCATATGCATAGGGATCGATAGAGGGTAGGAGATGAAGACGCGCCATGCGAATGAAAAAAGACCTGCGATTATAGGAACATGCGTCGCTGGAAATACATAGAATGGGCGTGCATGAGTGTTTTGTAATTCCTGATAATCCAGAAGCACCATCGTGCCAACAGCTTTTGTTTCTGTCGAAAGAGAACCATCGACTTCTCTGGATACCGTGTTCGGATGAGCCCCCACCGACTCATGAGTGAGACATGGCATCGCCTCAATACTCGCATCGACAAGGGATGGTGTAGCATCGACAAGCACCGAGAAAAGATGAGGCTTAGCCTCAACTAATCGATTCATCAAAAGAGGCGAAACCTGGGTAGCCATTTCAGTTGTACGGAGTTTGGCTTGCAGACCTTTGTCTACACGTATACGGGTGGTAGTTGCATCGACGCTCCGCTCCGACTTTTGGCGAGGTGCAGATATGTATTCAGATGCTTTTTGTCTCTCTCCCAAGCGGACATCTTGCAAATGGGGCAGCCAGTCGGAGACTCTCTGCCAGCCCTGAGCGTTCACCTCTATAAACCCGGGGCGATTCTTTTCGTGGAACCACTTCAAAGTCTCCAGATACGGGGCAAGGTGGCTCAATAGGATGGTCGTCTGCAGTGGGTCGTGTACATTCGAGTGACCAACGTGTAGACGGAGCAGAGACCTGGAAGATACACCATGAGACCTCAATATCTCCTTACTGCCTGGCCGAGCGTCCAAAACCAGCGCAAGCGTGTGGAGACGACGACAGCTTCTAGTCAGGGCTGCAATACCCTCTAGACTGAGGCTAGGACGGATAGGTCCTGAGAATCGCGACACTGGGCAAAGTCTCAGAATCTCGACATTCGGGCAAGCTTCGGCTACGCGGGCCAGGTCTTCATCATAGAAGACGACAGACTCAGGAAGATCAATCTCAAGACGCAGGAGATATGTAAGTAGATTGATGTTGCCTAAGGGGAGACGGCGAGAAGGACCATCCCCTCCTCTTGACGTGGACCTAACAAGTTCATTGAAACGTGACGACCCAGTGGCGGTGACATGCAAGCCTAGGAGCGTCTTCCCGAAACGCTCGCAAATCATACTGGACAGATCCATCCAGTCTGTTTTATCCGGAGGATCTTCGATGACAATATCGAGACGAGTAAGAGTACTCGTCAAGTGTCTTAGGAAGACAGCAATATTGGCGACTTCCCCAGTCAAGTGAAGCTCTCGAAGCTGAGAGAATGCGTTTATGGTTTGTAAGTCACCAGTAAGCCGTAGAGATGACTTGCGAATCTCCGTGAAATCAATTTCATCGCCTGAGAAGACGCCGCTATCAGACGAAGCATCGCTAGGAGTGGAGGCGCCCGAATGTACTATATCATCAAAGAACCCTTCAACGGCGATGATTGATCTGCCTGTCAGGTCGAGCTCCAGGGTCGTCAAGCACGGCAAAGATGCTGACCACTGTCCAACTTGAGATGACAGAGCACCCGGCGCAACAAGGACAAGTTTCATCAGAGAGCATTGGGACCGCAGGAGATCAGTGAAGTTGTCGGGGAGATTTGTCGGGGATGAAAACGAGAACGATGTGAGCTGTGTACGGCTGCAAACATCGACAAGGAAAGAGGACAGCTGTGGTAACTTCGTCCCAACCTCCAGAACTAAACTTTGCAGCTCGGGGTTTAGGAAAAGCAAACAGCGATCCAATCCCGCCTGCGTCTCGACTTTCCAGACAAGTTGCTGCAAGTGAGGAAGAATGTAGGTTTGTGGCCTGTTCTCGCTGAAGGTTGTAAATACTGAAGATGCCATGTTACTGGGGTTTTCTGTATATGTTATACGTAATACGCGCTCTCCGTAAGCCAAAAGTTTGGTCCAGTCATATACAGTGGGTGCTTTTGCCTTCCACGACAAACGTTAGATATCATCAAATTTTCTTACTATGGCTACCACACTCACCAAGCCTAAACCAGGGCGCCGCGACCTTTTCATGAGATGGTTAGGGAATAAGGAAATAAGCGGGAGAATAGAGTCCAGCTCTCGCCAGAGAATGCTTAAGGCAGGATCACATATAGCTCTGCAGGTACGTGCGAGCCTCGAAAGCGAACGTCGTCCGTTGGAAGAATCCAGAATACTCTCCAGCAATTTCTTCGTAGCCTCAGGATCTCGAAGGATTGCCAGAAACATGATTTGTTGATAGACAGAGTAAGATACGTAGGATGATCGTTTGCTTTGTTTGCTTTGAGAGCTGAAGGAGAAGCGAGAACGACGAAGAACAAAGGATACAGGGAAGAAAAGGATGTGGAAGAAAAAGCTGGTAGACATGGATGGTTCGAGCTGATATCCACTACTTGAATGCTGCCGCGCGTATAACATGCAGTATTTGTGTGCGCATAGGGCAACAAGCAACAAATGGTTGTCCAGACAAAACGTCAGGCCTTGGCTCGGCCTTGGCATGAACATGCAGGCATACACGGGGTGGCCGTGTGTCTCGCAACCTGCTTAAAACGTGATCCATGCGGCGAAGGGACTGGTGGCATCAACCTTACAAATGAAGTGCACGTCAATTGAGGCGTAGACATGAGGAAGAGATCGTGCCGCTTCATATTTTCTACAATAACGCTATTCGAAGGGCCCTTTCCACTACCAGTGGAGATCGATATATCTGGTGAACTCAGACACACGGTTAACATGTGTTTCATGAATTGGATCGAGCTCTTGCATCGTGTAATCAGACAGCATATTAATTATGATGAAGACTTTTCAATCACCTTTATGGTGGGAATTATCGCAGTCATGCTAAAGCGTTGAAATCATAGAACTCGAAGAAGTCCATTGCAGCCTAGAGCTCTCCCATTTCCCACAATGCAGGCTCACTCTCCCAGTCTCCTTCGTCTTCATATTTAGCCATATTGTCTTCTCCTTCACCCACGTTCCAGATTTCACCCCCTTTGCAAGTGTCATAGTGACAGATATGAGCACCATATAGCAATCTATGGACAACACACTCCTCGTTTTTGTGTTGCCTTCTTGAGGGTAGTATGGCTAGCATACGGCGAAGCTTATCGGGGAGGTTGATTTCAAGTCCTTCCTGTTCATTATATCTCCCGTCATCTGTTGCCCAGATACCTGAATCGGCGTTACGAGTAGCATACGACAGGGCAGGGTCAGAATCCAAGTGGTCGTCTACATGCATCTGCAGAGCGCGCTTCAAGACCTTTACAGGAATAGTCTCATCAATGTCTTTTACCTTGCCCTCGACTTGATCATCTTCCTCTGCTAACTTGTATTTATTCCTGCCCACAGTTGCAATAGCTTTGTTCCCGTTGCAATGTGAGTGATATGAATCGATGGAGGCGGGAGGCGGCGAAGGGGGAAGTAGCACGATCCGGTGGGGGCGCGTTGATGACACTTCAGAACTTTGAGACGCTGCCTCAGACTTGATCAGGGAGCACGTCATGGGAGCTCTTTGCGGAGACGGTCCAGGTGAAGGCTTGTGGGTTGTGTATATATCCTCAGACACTTTGACAAAATCAAAATGCTCTGTTTGACTAGTGAATCTGAGAGCATGGCCCGAGTCCAATTTCTGGTCTGAAGAGGCAAAGCCTCTGTCATTGATGGTCGTCAGGCCTTGATCGACTTTTATGCTCGAGGTAATGCTTCTTCTCTTGGTGCGTTGTTCATTTGTGCCTCTGCTAAAGCGACTTTCGCCTGCAGATTGAGGCCACTTAGAGCAAGCAGATAAACCATGTGAAGGAGTTATATCTTCAAACAGTAACTTGAATGATTTTTTACCACTAGGAGGCTTGGAAGGCGAGTTGTCTATAAATGGTATGTCATGGGGATCATCATCAGTAAATCGTCCTGATTCAGCGTCGCCTTGGGAATCGCATGATGGGTACGCCGTGAGACGAAGAGTACTTTGCAAACCAAGGCGCTGGCGTTTAATCTTGCTGGGTGAAGGTGAGACGGGCTCTCCACGAAAGCGTTTCCTAGCCCGAGAAACCGCACTACTTGTTACTAAGGGAGCATGAAGGGTTGTCGAGTTATGCTCTGCCCGGATGGGTGAAGATATTTCTGGAGATCTATCCCAAAACCAAGACCTGTCCCGAGCTGGGGTGGTAAATGCATTTGGCGATTTGTGCCCTGCCCTCACTATATCTTTGAGGGGCGAAAACGGGTTGGGCTTCGGTAGAGCTGCGGTGACTTTCACAGCACGAGGACCAAACATGACTGCAACCGAATGAGAAAGGTGACTTTGAGACTTGGAAGGCGTAGAGGCTGCACTAAGCGCAGCAGCTGGCATAGTTTTGATCAAAGTCTTGTATAATTTATACTTTTCAGCTACACAGAATTTTTGATAAGCGTCGCAGGTGCACAGAAAATTGTTTTCCGTACGTACCTATTACATCCATGTCTTTGATGTCCTGTACAGAAGGGTTTCTGTTGTATTTATCCTTGAAATCGCGTTCCCAAGCCTTAATCTCCGCACGTAGAGTGGGTATTACATATGTCATGGTGGGAGAAGTAACTTGAATAGATTGACTATGTTGCTTGCAAAACTTACCCTGGTCGAATTCAAAGTGTAATCGCCTCTCAAAGCTCGGCTACAGGCACAACGTGACCGACCACCACTGGAAATCAAGAGCAGAACAAAATAAATTTTACTAATAAAAAACTTTGGGCCCGTTCGGCAGCCTCCGTTTCAGCGCAAACAATATTTCTCACGCTATGTCACACCATGTTAAGGTAGGCCTCATCCCCAGCCAAAAGCCCAGATTTATAGATTGAAATAAGGAGATATAAATCTGTAAAATTATTTAGAAGTAGATATACATTGTGAAGTTTTGTTGACAAGTTCTCAGATTCTAGACGCCATCGTGTTGAGATCACTCTATCAATCTATGATCACAATGGTCCACAATACCACAGAGCACTGCCTCAAGTGCACTTTACGTCACTGCAATATCACAATCACAGTGCTGTTGTGTGCACTTGTAGCAGTGTCTGCAAACCCGGTCTATGGACGAGTCCAATTATTCAACAGAAGGAAGGTGATGGTGTGATTGCAACCAGTACTGCAATGGAGGCTCATCAATGTCTACTTGCTCATGGTCTCGACATGCTCAATTTCGAAGTGATTCAAACTTATCAGCTGAAGTCAATCGATACCTTGAGAGTAGGATCAGAAAACAACCCATTCAAGTCAATGCAGTAGTAGGGCCTAGTGGACCAAATTCATTATATCTACAGGTATGTTTCTTATCCTTGCTATAATACACACTCGTTCTGATCTCTTAATTTAGGATCAAAGTCTTCAGCCTGATCATTCTGATCTCCAACTGCAAGAAATTAACCACAATCTCCGGTACATGACTAACCTCGCTCAACTTGAGCAACTACAAACAATAATGACATTCATCAACACAATTAGGGAGGCTTCTTTGGACAACGAGATTGCCAGTGGCATGGCAGATTTCACCTCTTGACTCCGCAACCCCCTTTAACATATACTATCTCTTGGCAATTTATACGCCCACTATGCTCTTGATTTATTCCTCATGACCACAAATGCATCCGAGGAAACCTACAACAAAGCTCAGGACACATACTACAGACTTCATCTGGAACACTGCAATAAAATCATGTCTTTCTATCAAGTGAAACAATATGTAACTGATGGAAGTGGAGGAGATAGTATCACCAATGATATGTGTCTCAACAGCTGCCTAGCATATACTGGCCCTTTTGCAAAACTTGAGGTCTGCCTCATGTGCAATGAACATTAATATGATCAGTACCAATTGACTCAAAGTCGAGGCAAGAAGAAAGTACCAAGGCAGACCTTCCATACCATTCCTATTGGCCCACAGCTTCAAGCACTCTGGTGCAATCCTATTAGTGCCAAATCTATGCAATACCAAGAACATTGCACTCAGCAAATACTCCAAGGTATCCAAGATAACGGCATCCCAGATGTCTATGATGACCTCCTAACAGGACAAGACTATCTCAATGCTGTACAGGACAGTGAAATTAAGTCTGGGGACTGGGTACTAATGTTATCACTAGATGGAGCTCAACTGTACCAAAACAAGGCTTCCAACTGTTGGATTTACATATGGGTCTTGTTTGACATCTCACCAGACAAGCAATACAAGAAGAAACATGTCTTTCCTGGTGCCATCATTCCCGGACCTAACAAACCCAAGAATATGGAGTCTTTTTCTTCCTAGGCTTGCATTATGTATCAGCAATTCAGAAAGAGGGCCTCATGTGCTAGGACAGCTCAAATGACAAAGTATTCAACAATCATCCCTATGTGATCATGGCATCTGTGGATAGACCTGGCATGGTCTATATCTCAGGTCTAGTTGGCTATCACGGAAAGAATAGTTGTTGCATATATTGTGGATTTAAAAGCTGTCACAATCCCAATGTACCACACTACTGTCTTGCCTTATTGAAACCTTTAAACTACGATATACAAGGTAGCAACCATGACAACATAAATATCAATAACCTACCAGCCCCTTCTGCACTTGAATATCAAAAACCTTCTACTCCAAGTCATGAGCTCTCAGAATGAAACTCAGTACAAGAAGATTTGTTTGGAAACTGGCATTTCAAAGCCCAGTATTCTTCTAGGCCTACAACCATTGTTGACTCAGTCCATCTTGTCTTGTTTTTGCTCAGATATTATGTACTTAATATCAATCAATTCACCTGATCTCTTGATACCTCTATGACATGGGACATTTGACTGTAACAAGGCCAATGGCAAAGATACATGGGACTGGGCAGTCTTACAAGGCAACATATGGAAAAACCATGGACAGGTTGTAACTGACACAATGTCATACCTTCCTGGCTCATCCGACAGGCCACCTCATAACCCTGCTGAGAAAATAAACACAGGTTATACAGCTTGGGAATACCTCCTGTATATATACAACCTGGGTCCTTCTCTCTTGTATGAGATATTACCAGAGATATACTGGCACAGTTTCTGCATGTTATTCCAAGGTGCACGGATAATGGGGCAATACTCCATCACACAGAAAGAGTTACACCAAGCTCATAAGGCCCTTCGTGAGTTTGAACTGTTATATTACCAAAGGCACATCAGTCAATTACATATGGTCTGCCCTTCACTCCACTCACTCCTACACCTTGCTAAGCAAACAGATAAAACCGGGCCTCTAATCTGTGCCTCACAATGAACAGTGGAGAGGACAATAGACAATCTTGGCCAGGAAATTAGGCAGCCATCAAGTCCCTATTCAAATTTTTCCCAGTGTGCTATTTGTTGAGCACAAATTAACACTCTCAAAGCAATGGTCCTGGACCTGGAGCCTGAGTCCAGCACTGTTCTTCGTGGTGCAAAAGACCTTGGCAATGGCTATATCCTCCTCAGGGCAATGGAAGCAACAACTCACTCTGTACATGCCTGTGGGTCAGAATCATTCATTAGATACATTCTGACATTACAACCTGAAAGTGCACTGCAAGCAAACTTCAAAATACACAGATGGGCTAGACTGTGACTACCTAATGGACAAATTGCCTGTCGTTAATGGAAAGAGGAAAGCAAGTACAATGTTTGTAAAGCACACAATGTAAAAGTACATATCATACTGCTTTTACCCCAGTTAATGTTTTCTATGCTATAGTTACATCTGAATGGCTCATATTATCCAATATTTGGTGAAGCCTTATATTTCACCCAGCTAGTCATTTGTGGTCACCTCAAGACTCTCACCATCATATCCCAGTACTCAGAGCCCAATTTGGACCTTCTTCAATTGTCAACACAGACATTATGGTCATTTCAGCATCTCAATGACGCATCACTTAATGTTTTTTAGGTCAGCAAAATATGTGCCATTGCTGCAATGATCCCACATCAATTCAAAGGTCACGCCAGATTCTTTTTAGTGGAGAAACCAGGATTAGACATTGCTTATTTAGGAGGGATGGACAAGGTAGAAGAACCTGATGATATTGTAGAAACTGACAAAACCGGATAAACCCGGTCCCTGCTGAAGCAGCCATTGTTTTCCATGGAGCATAGCCACCACTCCATGGAGTCACCATTGTTCTCCTAGGAGCACAATTGTACTCCTAGGAGTCATTATACTATAGTGAGTAGCACCTCCAACTATAAGTAGTAGGGGGTTTAGTATAGAAATACCTCAGTCGTTTCTATAGCCTCTTGGGCAGCGGCTGAGGTATGTTACATTACATTTATTAGAGATCACCTTAAACTAAAATCCATTGTAGTTTCACATAGGTAAATAATAAATTTATTTTTATAGCCTCTTGGGCAGCGGCTGAGTTTCACATAGTTTTATTAGGTTATGAGCCCTGGTGCGCAAAAGCTACTCACCAAATTGTCCTGGGATGGGACATCCCCTATCCAGGACCACATTGCGAGAATCCGGACAATTGATTCACACCTCTCTGGAATGAAACTAGGAGTTGATACCAAACTCATGGCCTTTGCTCTTCTCCAATCTCTCCCATGCACTCCTGAATGGCAAATATTTCAGTCATCGGTAATCAACACAATTGAAGAAAATAAACTTACCTTTGCTGCAGTTGAGATCCGGATCACTGCAGAAGTTGAATGACAGTCAGGGAAGGCCCCTGGAGGTTCCAAATCAGCACTCAAATCCGAGGAGAAGTGGTGTGACTTCCACAAATCCAAATCACACAACACCTCGGAGTGTCAAACACTTCAGTCAGCTGGAAAAGGTCAAAGGAAGAAGGGAAAGGAAAGATACAAGGATAAAGGAAAAGAGAAGGAAAAGGCAAATACGGCGGAGCAATCATCTGGATTTGACTCCGAGGAGGAACAGAGTCATATTGCATTGGAACATGTACATATTTCCAAGCCCCTTGCTAAACACATTCAAGCTTACCTTGTGTCGGAACCCGATAAGACCAAAACAACAATCATCATTGACTCCAGAGCAACATCTCACATGGTCCCTCACCGCTCCTAGTTTGAGCCAGGAACATACCATGTTCTGAATCCTCCGAGGACAATCAGTTTTGGGGATGAATCCTCTGTAAATGCCATTGGAATTGGAACTGTAATCCTACAAGCAACTGTTGGCAAAAAGGACTACAATATTGCACTGTTGAATGTCTTACTTGTGCCAAACTTCACTTTAGCACTTGTCTCTGTCCACAAATTGTCTAAAACGGGGTTATCAACACTTTTTCCAGCAGGGTCAAATGCTTGTGAAGTTCGGAAAAAGAAGGAACTTATCCTCATTGCCTTACACAAGTGAGGACCCTATCACATCCAAGCAAAACCTGAAATCAACCCAGCTTTTGCAGCAGTAGATGTAAATTTATTGCACAGGAGAATGGGACACATTGGAATGGACCGCTTGCAACGAATGGTTACAAAAGGACAGCTCCAGGACATAGACACCCTTAACTGAACCCCAGAGTTTTGTGAACCTTGTGCTTTAGGAAAGATGAAGAAATTACCTTTCAAGTCCACTAGAGGAAACCGAGCCAAGCTATTAAGAACAAAGCTTGAAGGAAGTGTCTAGCCACTTGCTGAGAGCAATCAGGGACTGGAACTAGAGTCCAATGTGAGTAACTATATTATTAGAGAGTATGACAGGTATACAGTACCTAGAGTCCAATGTGAGTAACTAGAGAATAGGAAACATTGGACTCTGCAGTACTGTCCGAAGTTTTGTAAACAAAGGTAAACAAAGGAGCCATAAAGGCGAAATAATAGAGAACACAATCAATAGTGAATGATAGAAGAATAGATAGAGAAAGGAATGAAAATATATAGGTAGCACAAAGGTGCAGAATCACCAAAACTAACAGGGCGTCAAGTGTCATACCTCTCAATTGTAGGCTCCCTCATGTATGCCATGCTAGGAACCCGCCCAGACATTGCCTACGTTGTTGGAATACTAAGCAGGCATAGCTCAGCTCCAAGGAGCCATCACTGGCAAGCTGCAAAATGTGTCCTCCGATATCTGAAAGCAACCAGGGACATGGAACTACAATATGATGGCACAGATGTCTCCATGGACATGTATTTCTATGGATATTCAGATGCAGATTGGTCTGGAGACCCAGACACATCTCGATCAACATCAGGCTTTGTTTTGATCACCATCCGAGGAGCAATCTCCTAGACAAGCAAAAGACAAAGCATGGTAGCTTTATCCTCCACGGAGTCAGAGTACATTGGATTGAGCAATGCTGGACAACACCTTGCATGGCTTTGGACATTTTTTGAAGAAATTGGACATGCTCAAAATGGACCTACAACATTGCACTGTGACAATCAAGCAGCTATCATTCTTACACGATATCCACAGTTCTGTGCTCGCACAAAACACATTCAACGGAAATATCATTTTATCCGAGATGACTTAGTATCAAAGGGAGAGGCAGTAATCAGATATGTTCCTACAGGAGATATGGTTGCCGACATTCTCACTAAACCCCTCACTCACAAAAAACACTGGAAATTCTCTAAAGCTATGGGACTACGGTTGCACTCGAGTGGGAGTGACAAAACCGGACAAACCCGGTCCCTGCTGAAGCAGCCATTGTTCTCTATGGAGCATAGCCACCACTCCATGGATAAAAAAATATACATTGTTCTCCAAGGAGCACAATTATATTCCTAGGAGTCATTATACTATAGTGAGTAGTACCTCCAACTATAAGTAGTAGGGGGTTTAGTATGGAAATACCTCAGTCGTTTCTATAGCCTCTTGGGCAGCGGCTGAGTTTCACATAGTTTTATTAGAAATATGATTCTGTAGCTCAAAATATAATACATAGCATGTTATGTGGTCAAGAACAAATGCAATGAGCCTATCAACTATACCACTACATCATCATCATCATCATCATCATCTCTGTCCTCACTTTCCTCCTTCTCAGGCCCAAACAATTTGATGCAACGAATGTTGTAACTAAAAATAGGGTAATCTCTATTTGAAGACATGCAAGTAGAGTCATAGCAACACTTAAGGCATATAGAAGGTGAAAGCGTGATATTTTGACAAAGAGATTGAGTTCGGATCATACAGGGTGTGAGAATATATGAACAGATATAAGAGATAGCACACACTGTGACCCATCTGATAAATGATCATGTTTTTAATAGTCCAATTGACTTGGTTGTCCTTAATGTTCCTGGCTTGATATTTGAGATAAATGATGAGAGTCTAACAAAAACATTGTTGTCAGATTAATTTCTAAGGAAAAACTTAGCTTGCCATTTTTCCAGGTTGTTCCGGAGTGAATCTGAGGGAGTATGTGTGCCATTCAGAAGAAATTGAGTCAATGTTAAGAACAAGGACATCATGATAAAGGGAAAAGTTTTTGGTATCAATGGTGCAATGAGATAAGATAAAAAGAATACACAGGGACAGATGCAAAAAGCGGACTTTGAATATACTTTGAGTCTCTTCACGGAAATTGAACTGAATTTGTGTGTACCTTTCTTTCTCCTCTCTACGTTGTCTTCTACATCATCCCGTGAAGCTTTTCCTATTGATGAATTTCCAAGTTCTCTCACTAGTAAGCATAGTCAGTATAGCAATCCTGTTGATAATAGTTCACAATTGCCTGGCATTGTAAGTTTTTTATAGGCTAATTTAAGAATATCTAATCAATAACCTAACCCTAATTGAGACTCTACATCAAATATTGCAAGCACTTGGTTGCCGTGATAGCATAGCACAGTCAAAACAATGTGAGATAAATGACTCAAATTACCTTAAGCTTATCAAGAGGATCATGGAGGTAGAAGCTGAAAATAAAGCCCTGAAGTGTGTTATCTATCTTATCTTCTCTTGTTTACAATCTATGCTGATGTAACTACAGAGAGAAGCTAAGCCTTGTCCCAGTGTAAGGACCATTTATATTTTCTTATTTTCTTATCTTTTCGTTCCATGTCTTGGCTCTCAGATGCTTTCCCTGTTACACTTCTGGCTCTAGGGCTAGAGGTATCCTTTGCTATCTTGCTTCTCATAGCCCTCACAGGCTTTCTCAACCATCATTACCACTTCATATCGCAGATCAGAGACTGGGTAGTACTCCCAGCCAGCCAGCACAATGGGTAAGGACTGGTGGTAGAAATCTCGCTAACCAGCTCCAAGCCCCATCAGTGCCTAGAGATATTAATAGACACTTTAGTCAGGATTGTACCTCATCATGAGGATACGGTTCCTGAACATGCGTGACAATACTTATTATTAGTACATTCTCTCACCTGATTATCAATCCCTGAAGTTATACAATAGTTATTCTTTTTCTTATTGGATAGTTTCATCCCACTTTTTTTATATTCTACTTCTGGTCTGAGAGATAGACAATTAGCTATAAAAACCCTATATACTCATGTATCGTTCTTTAGCTTTTTATTACTTGAATTACCCGCTTTACTCCTCATCAGAAACCCTTGAGTTTACTATTAGTCCTCTACCTGCTATAATCTCTAGCATCTGTTGACCTCAAACTCATTGTACCTCTTACTCCCTGCAAGTGCAGTCGGAGATAGGTATTGTTTTTGTTATAGTTTAACATTGCCTCATACCCAGGAGAAGAGTTCAAGATCATCAATTTTAAGCCTTTAGATCAAAGGGATTACCCACTTGTTAAATTCTGGACAAAAAGGGAGTTCAAAAATGATAACAAAGAGGACCTGAGTGTTACTACAATCAAAGAAGATGACAACTCAGACTTGAAAAATGAAAGTGATGGAATGCCAACGTGTGGTCCGGTTCATCTTAGCATGGGTCTGAATGTCTGTCTGCTCTCAGTACATTGAAGATAAAAAAGGTGTGGCTATTCATGGCAATTGTGTAAAATTAATCCGGATGTTTGTGCTCAGCATATTCAAGAATCTTTGGAACAAGGGATAAGCCGCTCCTACTTGGATGGAAGTTCCTTACATTGGGCAAGATCTTTACTTCAAGGCTCTAGCTACAAGATATGAAGATATGTGGCTCTGTGACTCTCACTGGAAGGCCAACCATCTTGCAACAAAGATATACCCTGGCTAGTACAGGTATCATGTGAAGGGGATCAAATCCATCAAAAAAGAGCTGGTAGCTGTAACCAAAGTTTCTCTCCTTGGCAAGTGTTCTGGCAATAAGGCTGATATTGATTCCACTGGCCCAGACCTGGAACCCCCATTCAAACAAATCAATACATCCGAGTCCATATGCAAGTCAAACTCTATCTTGGCTTTAGTTCATTCAATTGCACAGCCAGGTTCTTCAATGGACACCAGTTCAGTGGGAAAATCATACAAAAATCCTCCTGGTAGGTTACAGGTTACCAATCCATTGTAAGTTATCTATTGAATTATTGTTTATTGTCTACTGATACATTTATAGAGCCAATATCCACATTGACTTTCCCACATCCCTTGATTTTGTAGCAGCCTCAATTGCCTCAAGCACAAAATGTTCATGTTCCCATCCAGTAAAGAAGACCGTCAAGGCTAGTACAGAGCAGCAAGATGTTGAGGACCAAGGCTAAGAAGTTCTGACCTAGCAAAGCTTTGACAGCATAGTGAGTAGTATAGTTCTTGTTTATTGTATGCTACTGACCTTATATTTAGTAACCTATGTGCTAAAGATTGGTTAAAAACAAAACTCCAGATCATAAGAGGATTTCAGGTCATACTACGAAGCTCTCAATCCCTCTGTTATCTTAGTAAGTATTTTTTTTTGATTATATTGCTTATTTTTCTGACTGTTTTTATCACAGACTTTTGAAGAACAAGTTCTTGTTAAGGACAAAGCTTAAAGAAAGTGTTCAGAGACTGGAACTAGAGTCCAATGTGAGTAACTAGATTATTAGAGAGTACAGAAGGTATACAGAACCTAGAGAATAGGAAGCATTGGACTCTGCAGTACTGTCCGAAGTTTTGTAAACAAAGGTAAACAAAGGAGCCACAAAGGCAAAATAATAGAGAACACAATCAATACTGAATGATAGAGGAATAGATAGAGAAAGAAATGAAAATATGTAGGTAGCACAAAGATGCAGAATCACCAAAACTAACAGTTCTTGCCATCAAAACAGTAAGCCATTCTAAATTGTTTTGTACATATGCTAACTGTATTCTATGCACAGGCTTCCTCAATCTTTCTTCCAGCAGCTACTATGACATGAATTCCTACCTTGACTCTTTTACATACCCCATGTATGCTTTTTCCCATCAATATGTGCTTTCATAGTATTTTCTGGGCTTTTTTGTAACATTTTTTACCACTTTTTGATTTTATTTAATGTAGTATGTCTAGCTGTATATCAATTTATATCACTGTGTTCATATGGCAAAATAAAATTGTGAATAAACCATTCTATTGAGATTCATGTAAGTCTACTCAGATTGATATAGTTCAAGATTTATTTACTTTGTATACAGATGTTTATCAATAAAAATCTTGAATTTGGCCATCCATCTCAAGTAAATTGTGACCATGTTTATATTTTGATATGAGTGATATATGATGCTATGGATCTGCATTTTCAATCAGGTGACTTGAACTCAAGGCACTTTCATGAATTCAAACAAAATTTTCATTTCCTATCACTACATATTATAAATTTGGGCTTTTGGCTGGGCCTCATACACAATTGACGCCATCACATGATGTGACTTGGCCTGTGACAGTCAGCAACAAGGCAGATCATCAACATAAATTCTTGGTTATTTAAGGCTCATTTTTGCCACAAAAACCCTATATCTTCTTACACAACACTGTTTTTCAAGATTCTGCTTGCAGTCATCTACTTATATATACTGCATTTAGCCATCCTTGCAAACAAAAAATATAAATCACTTGATTTAAACGAGAAGATAGCATTTCTCTGCAATGTAACACTTTTTGTCACATCATGGTGTTGATTATGAATGAGACCTATCTTACACGCATTTCAGGATTGTAGATTAAGTAAAATATGCATTATCCACAACTGACACCATCACACAATGTGACTTGGCCTGTGACCACTGGCATGATGGGGCAAATCACCAACTTGAATTTTTGTCATCTTTGCCACAAAAAATCTATCCCGTCTTACATGGCATCATTTTTTTTAGTTCTTTTTACAGAATTATATTTATATTTACTGAGTTCAGTTTTTCTCTCAAACAGAAAATCATAAATAATTCATATCAAGTGAGAAAAGATAAAAATTTTCTGGTTTGTCACCAAGTGCAACACTTTTCAAAAACAAACTGTGTTGCCAAACATGTTAGCTTATTCCAAAATAGGCCCGTTTTGCAAGGGCACCATTTTAGAATGAAACAAGATTTTTTTTGGCTGGCAACATTTTGAAATGGTGGCTGCCGAACAGGCCCTTCATCTTTTTCCCTCGGTATAACATGGCCCTCCAGGGGACCCCTTGTTGTGGCAAGTTGCCTTAGCATTAGCATTTATCTCTATGATCACTGTGCATCCCCAACCGGGTGATAATTACCAAGTGAACCAACCAATTTTTGAGTGATTTTGGCACCAAAGTGAATATCGCCTGTTTGCTAGTTTTTTTAACCCAGTAAATAGAATGTAAAAATCAGTGAATTTCCCCTACAATTTCTGCTTGTTTTCACTTATTTTATCACCCAATAAAATAGTGATAAAAAAATAATAAACTTATTTCATAGAAATACATAAACAACAACTATATTTACTATGCAATTCTCCATGACTGCTTAGCAGCTTCAGCTGAGACTGGGTTTGTTAGGATACACAATTTTTGGATCTTCACTTTCATTCTCTGTCTCTACCTTCTTTTTCAGTTTTCACACAATTGTGCCATTTGGCACTTTTCTTTTTGTTCAAACTCCACTTCCTTGTGCTGCGCTGCCTTTCCTTATTTTTAGCTAAAAGTCTCTCATGCAGTGGAGCTGGTCACACAGGCTGCACCCTATGGCAGCATCAGCCACTGTTTTATCAACTGTATAGTACAACATGTACAAACAACCTGTAGTTGTATTATAAGTACCCCAATAAATCCAGGAGACTCCTTCGCGAGTCCTCCTGTTGTTTTAAACACCCATAACAAACTTGGTCCTACCTTAAAAGAGAATATCCTCTCCTCCACTCACCCCTCTTTGCCTGTTCTTGTTGTGCACCAGAGTATACAAAATGTGGTTGTTACTGGGTCTATCCCAGGCTCCTCCACAGCCACTGTTTCGAGAGATAAGGATGAGTGGTAGGGAGTTCAGGACAAGGCTTATTAATAGATAGTCACATGATTATGATAATTTCAAAGTCAGCACAACTTTATTCCTTGCTCTTTCTCCACAGCGGCTGCAAATTAACATTTGTAAACAATGGCTCCTCACACTTACTGTGATCACCGTCGTTGTTGGAGATCGGAAAAGGGTAATCGTTTGTTGAATTGCACTACAATTACTAATTTTGTATCTACAACTACTCAATACAGATCATCTGGCCTATGTGATGCAGTCCAGTGATGTATGTTGATGGCCAGGCAGGATTTAAACTCCTTTACTGGCATCTGTAGGATAACCCAGCAAAAGCCAGGCTCCTATCCATGTTTTTGGCAGGCCAAAGTTGGACAAGTGCTTGCTAAGGAGGGAATGATGTTATATTGATTGTAGGACAGGTTTGGGAACAACACTGGCATTTATGATACCTCTCATACTTAGGCCCAAACACATGCAAAAACGGCAGTAAACTTGGGCAGCAGAATGTGGAGACACTGGCAAAAGTAAACATGAACACTGAGATTACCAACTGCCAGTGCTTTGAACTTACTTTCCTAAATTGGCATGTGGTAAAACATTATTAATTAGTCTGCAATTGTTTTTTGGTGTCCAACATTGAGACTCGTCACTGTCACTGTGGCGAGCCATTGTTTACAAATGTTAATTTGCAGCCGCTGTGGAGAGAGAGCGAGGAATAAAGTTGTGCTGACTTTGAATTATTATCTTATCATATCTAATCATATCTAATCTCATCATTATATCTCTAGGACAACAGTAGGTTCTGGACCTTTTTTGCATAGGATATTTTGGTGCAGGGAGCTAAAATAACTTGTATCAAGCAACACAAGCAGAGGCCTTGATAGTTGTCCATTCCTAGGGTGTGATCATTGTCCCATCTTTATGCCAAATAGCATATTCTATTGCTGGTCAGGATGGGTTGAGAGCTGTTAGGCTAGTGTCCTTATTGTGTTTGTGGTCTTCAGGGTTTCACACAACTTCACTAATCTGGATACAGCTCAGCCTTCTTTGAGCTTTCTTGATATTTCAAATGGAGAGCAGATGAAAATAGTGTGGCAGAGGCAGTATGGGAGGCAGAGTCACTTGGATATATTCTTGAATTCCCTGCATTATAAAAAGTAGTAGTAGATAGTATATAATAATTGAGAAATATATACGCTGAATTTGCTTGATTTTTAAGGGCTGTTTGTAGTTTCAAGGCCTTTTCCTGAAGGACATGATTCTCTTTGCTCAATGTTGTAATTGGGTCAGTTAATTGTTGGAGATTACCCTTAACTTTTTATAGCTGCTATGGACCTGCATGGACCTGGTCTGTAGCCGATAAACCCTCAAACTAAATGACTAATTTGTTCTGGTATGCTTAGTTTTCAAGGAATTAATCAGTAGCAACTTGGTATTTTTGAATAGCCTTGCTAATGTGCCAGTTATTGAGGAGATCTTCAAAAGATAGGGACTCAATGGAGAGTAGGTTCAGACTTGACTTAAGGATCTGTCCTTTTGGAATTCTGGAAACTATGGCTTGTGGCATGGATATAACATAAGCAAAGTAAAATAACCACAGAGGTAAGGCTTGTCAACATGGCAAATAACAAGGAAATAGCCTGTGTTTGATTAATAGTTTTTTGTTCTTAAGCTTATGCTTGTTATCAATCAATTAGCATGATGCCTTGGGCCCCATATCTTTCTATAGTGCTGTGCTACGGTACTAATTTTTTTTTTTGCAAAATCCAGAACTATTAGGGCCATCCAAAATCACCTCCAGGATGACATATACAGCTATCTCCTACTTTCAAAGCTCACTTAGAGTTATGCTGAATAGTTTACCCTAATTTGCAGACTGAGCTGTAACCCAAAAAAACTGAATGTCAGAAAAAAAACATATAAAGCTGGGTAAATATTTTAGACTCATATACAGGCTGTATTTACCTAGAATAAAAATTCCTTTGTTCCAGATATGCAAATTATAAGATGGGGAAAATGCATGTGAATGAGAAAAATATCTTAAACACTCAGTTGAGTGAATTATGAGAAAATCCCCCTTTGCAATCACATTGTTATTTCTAAGGAAACAATGTGAAGCCCTTGCATTTTATGAGATTGAAGCACTTGCAGGGAATGTACAGGGATTGGTTGTATATCATCCTATGATAAATGGTTGATACACTCTAAATATATGGAGCAGAACCTGGTTCAACTGTAAGAACAAAGTTGGTAAACTCTGGCACACACAACAGACAAACAAAAGAGGATAGTGTGAAGGAGTTAATAGATTCCACTTAGTAGGAACAAATTTGTTGTGACTAAACAACAAAAGGACTCACTAAAAAGTCTCCAATCTATTAAGGTGTATTTATACTAAAACATGATGTTTGTACATGTGCACTGTACTATTGATAAGAAGTGGTGGCTGATGATATCAGGAAAAATTCTTTTGCTATATAGCACTATATAGCCACCACATGTATATATAGATGCTTTCATAGTAACCATAGCCCTATCAATGCAATTGTAGCCTTTATAGCACAAGATTTAGCTAAAAACAAAACAATAATATTTATAATTTGAATTTACCATAATGTCTGATAAGCGTATTTACTACTAAAATTGTTGAGATGAAATTTTGTACAAATGTGCAAAACATTACTGTGAGTTCAATTAAGTGGACAAGTATCTCTACTTCCCCCAAAGACTGGAATCAAATGACAAACCTGTCTAATTGCAGAAAGGGGCATAATATCACCAGGCAGGTAGCCAGAAGCATTAGGCCCAGGTTTGGTGACAGAGTACATCATATGGTTGTCTTCAGCTTTTGGCCTTAGATAATTAAACCATTCAACATAAGCCAAATGATCTTAAGGCTAGTTAGAAGGGGTGCTATGTGTGCCATATAATGTTGTAGGTAACTTGAAGATCACTCTGAGACGTCTAATTCTTGTGCCTGGTACAAATTTTAAACAGATAGTAGATAAAGCTTTATATTATAGAACTTACCTGTTAAACCTGTTCATTCACAGTTATTGGAGTTTATTACTGTAGCAGTATCAAACCTAGGAGGCTGTCCACCAACACTTGAGGGTTTTGCCTTTACAGCATCCATTTGGCCATCAAACAAGTCCACATTGTTTCCAAGAGTGGAAAACATCAAGGTTTTGAAATAAAAGAGGGTAAGATCTTGTTTGTGCTCTGGAATGGGGTTGCTCATTGAGGAAGGTGGTGAAGCCCATCTGGACCAGAACAGTGAATAGGTTAGAGCAAAATCTAAATTTTTAGAGAATAATAACATAGTGAGTACAAATTTTATTCTTTGCTCAAGGCTTGCTCACTACTTTTTTTATAAGATTGTTTAAAGTCCACAACAGTCACTCCTAACTTGTCTTTAGGATCAGCTTCACATTTGTTCCATGGTTATAGTCCTAACATCCTACATCTCAGCATGAAATCATTATCCTTCAAAGAAAAGCTCAGTTCTATCTCCTGTCCCACAATAAAGTATATTGCCAGCCTAGGTTACAAAGTGATGAGAACCTATATTGTCACCAAGAAAGGCTTTCCAAATGCTCTTAATTGACAATGTACTGGAATGTATTACTTGAGGCCCCCAATAATGACAAAGGTTACACTTGCTTGCTTGGCCAACATACTGCAGGATGACCAGGAATAGAAAGCCCAGGTTCTGGTATACTTGAGTACCTTTTATTATAGCAATCACAAATATTGACTGTTTTCTAATCAGGTATGGAAAGGCTGTACACAAGTCAAAGGAGAGCTAGTATCTGTTACAATACACAATTTTCAGACCTTTAAATTTCATTCTCCTCTTTAAGCTTTCTTCTGTAGTTTTCACACACTATGCCATGCGGCACTTTCCATTTTGTTCAAACTCCACCTTCTCGTGCTACACTGCCTTTTTCCTTATTTTAGCTACAAATCTCTCACGCAGTGGAGCTGGTCACACGGGCTGTGCCCCATGGCATCATCAGCCACTGCCTCCATCAACTGTATAGTACACATGTACAAACAACCTGCAGTAGTATATATACTCTAATAAATCAAGGAGACTCCTCAGTGAGTCCTCCTGCTGTTTACCCACAACTAACTTGGTCCTATCCTAAAGGTAACCACTCCCCTTACTACCTTTATAGCTTTGTCTGAGTTGTGCGCCAGAGTAACAAACTCTTGGTTGTTACATTAGGACTCGCTCTCTCTACTCTCTCGCACTTTGTGCAAACCTGGTCCCCAGGGTTAAGGGGTTATTGTTTTGGAATATCCTGTATAGCAGAAGGGTGCACTTCTAGCAATGGCCCTGTAGTGCTCAAGGAGAAAGGACAATTATTTACACACAGCCCCCAGTGTTAAGGGGAGTACCTTAGCTCAGCAGTTGGTGTGGAACTATTGTTGATTAGTTTTAGAATACCAAACTTCTTCTTTGAATACCTCTGACCACGCTGGGCACTTGCCTTCGCCAGTCTGGAGAAAGGTTGACAGGTTAACAAACGGACCACCCCCTGACAACCGTTCAGACCAGGGTTTATTACATTTACCTTTTATATACATTTTCAAATGCTATATATAGTGTGGGTAGTTGGAGATTGAGATCTGAAACTCAGCTGGGAAGAGGTTGATCCGCAGATAGCAAGCGGGGACCCCCAGTTACCCAACCTGACATCAACACTCTGTTGCACAATATGTGTACACAGATTTTGGTGTTAACCACGCAGCTCGCCCAAAATTTAGGCAAACCCCCCTGAACAGGTTGAGTAAAAATTTAACAAAAAAGTCAAAATTGTTGCTGACCCCGGCACTTTTGAAGGAGACCGAACTCGATTTGCCAAATGGTGGATCAAGCTCCACATTTGGATCAAGGCAAATTGGGACGTGTTTGCCGACAATTTTGAGATAGCAACTGCTGTGCTATCTTGACTAAAAAGACCTGTGGCAGGTCGATACACCCAAGTAAGACTGCAAGAGTGCTACATGGCAGGTGTGTGGCCCACCTGGGACAATCTCAAAGTCAAGATTGAAAAATACTTCAAACCGTGAGCTAAGCGTGACTGGGTGCATCAGCAAATCTGTTCCTTCAAACAAGGAAATATAAGGATAGATGACTCTGTAACCCAGTTCTTGGCTCTCTTCATCCAAGAAGGGCTTGGAAATAAACATGCAGTAGAACTGCTAGGAAACAATATGAACCCCTGCATTGCTGAGCAGGTCTTTCTGCAAGATACAAGAAACGAGAACTTGGCCCTGGCAGCTTAGAAAGTACGCCAAATTGGTAGAGCCATGGAGCTTTACACAATGCACCAAGGTGGTGGGACCACCACCAAAAACAACTATTCCCAGAGGAGCCCTGGGTCATCAAACCAACATAATCATTCTCACAGGTTCAAGCCATTTTGGGCTGCAACCAGGGCAGGGAGCCCCTATGGATATCAGTGCAGTCCAAGGCAGACAGATGCGCAGATTCAAAGGGAACTGCTACAATTGCGGCCAAAAGGGACACAGGCCGCCCAACAAAAAATAACCAAGGGCACCAGGCATGCCAATTAGAAACAGAAAAGCCGGACAATTGGCTCAATGCTCTGGCCAGTTGTTCGTACAACAAAATCCTGGCCTTCTTCTATGACCAACAGGTCAATGAGATGAAAGTGCAGGGAAAAGAGTTCAGAGCTTACGTTACTTGGGTGCCTTCGCTCCTCAAAACATCAAAGTAAACCACAACAAGGTGGCCCCTGCTCCGAGGTGTTGCACGAGCAATAACCGGAAGATGGGGGTGGCTCCCCAAATTGTAAATAGATTTTTGAATTTATTATCTGAAGTATGTACTTGCATGAAGAATTGTAACTGCAATACTTATGATACTACCGCTGCACCAGCATCTTCTCAGGAGTGTGGCCCCGGCAAGACAAACACTAGGGTGCTTGATTCTGGTAAATATAAAAATAAAAATATAGAAAATCCTAAAATAGAAGAACATGTTTCTCTTGATCTTTCTTCTTCTTCTTCTCCGGAGCATGATTCAGGTGCTAACGGAATCTTCATAGATCAGGCCTGGGTGGAGCAAATTTGACTCCCCCTTGTAAAATTAGATATATTTATTCCCGTCTATAACATTGATGGTACGCTTAATACGGGTGGCTGCATTATGCACAAATGTTTTTTTGTTGTCAAGTACCAAGGACACAGAGAACGAGTTACTGCTGAAGCTACCCAACTAGGGAAGATTAACTTAATCTTAGGCTGGACCTGGCTATTTAAACACAATCCTAAGACTGACTGGCAGACAGGGGTTGTCACATTGTTATGTTGCCCTCAGGAGTGTGATAACTTGGGTAAACCAAATCACGTCCGTCAAACCGAGCTCAATGAAAGGATAAACACTGGTCATGTTTATGCCAAGCTCAGATCTTTGGATAAAATTGATGATGATGATGATGATGATGATGAGGTAAAACAAAACCTGAGGAAGAGATTGAGAGGCTGGTAACTCCAGAGTACCATGACTTCTGGAAAGTCTTTTCAAAACAAAAATCAGAGTGCTTCCCAGAGGCTAAGCTTTGGAACCATGCTATAGATTTGAAGGACACATTCAAACCAAGAAAAGGACACATAATTCCACTCTCTTCCCCAGAAAGAGATGAGGTTTCTAGTTTCATAGATGAACAGCTTAGGAAGGGTTACATCAGACCCTCTAAAAGCCCTATGACGTCCCCGGTGTGCTTCATTCCTAAAAAGGATGGTAAAAAGTGTATGATTATGGACTATTGTTACTTAAATGAGTACACAGTTAAAAATGTGTATCCGCTGCCTTTGATTAGTCAGCTAGTAGACAAGTTGGCTGGTGCCAAGATCTTAACAAAGATGGGCCTCAGATGGTGGTACAATAATATACAAATACCAATTTGTATAGTTAGTATAATTTATTTTTTGGATTGATTAAACCTGCAAAAAGGTATGTGCTTTCATGACCAATGATATAAACCAATGACAAAGATGAAATGCTCACTATACAATTCTAAAGACCTATTTTTGGGGACTGTGCAATCATGTGTGATTAACGCTATTGGCTGGAGCTAAGTTATGGCTCATCTGCAATAGAATTTGCCATGATCACATCATAAAGTGTGCACTAATTTTGTTTATATGAGCATTGCTGAATTAAGATTACTAATGGCATCATTTTTTGTGGAGAGGATTGCAGTGAAGGAAATAATAGTCATCTCTGTCTCCATTGCAATTCCAGGATAGGTAGTGTCAACTGATGAGTCTATGGTGTTTTCTGGCATAAGGGTGTTGGCGGGAAGCTCAATTGTCCCATCTCCTGCAATTCCATGACCATCCAGCAGCACTATGAATAAAGCAAGTTGTTCCCAAGCTATGATAAATTGACTGTATGATGGTATCAAAAGCATTACACTGCCCTTGACTGAGCTGCTCTACATTATCTTTTGAGTAATAATAATACAGTCAAGTGATCAAATTTTATTTAGTCAGAAGTCAGTGAACTTGTGCTGTCCTGTCCTTATAAGCGTGAGAATTTTTAATGTGGTTACAAATTTCACTGCATTCACTACTACTGTACTGCTGCTCCTGTGTTGCCACAAAAACCATGCGAGTGAAACTAAGCAAAATAACTGATGCAATGTGGCTCGCACACGGCATTTGGGACTATTGTCCCCTTCATTATAGATAGTACTTGTTATTGCCTTTTTTGTACTTGTGGCTGATCAACACCCATCTCTATTAGGCAATCAAGTTGCACCCACCTTTGTTTTCCATTCTGTATTTTGGCATTTTGGCAATTTTTCGTATCACCACTGGCTACACATTGCACCCTCACTTTTGTCATCTTTTTTACTCCCCTTCCTTTACTTGGCCCCACCATGGGCCCTTTTCTGTCATCTCTATTCTCACCACATGGTCATTTTTGGATCCCTATTATTGTCCACTTTTTTGTCACTTTCATGCTCCTGCTCCTTGTCCTCCTTGTGTCTCCTCCACCTCTGATGTCACCTCTATTCATACACTTCTATTGCCAATCTGTTAACCACCACGTGCCACTACTACTTTCAGCAAAGCCCCAGCAGCCAGTCCAAATTAGGCAGCTGGTCCACCTTCATGACATCAATTTACCATCATACACTATCAAATTATTGGTCACTCATCTTACCTACCTAGAACACGGCTGGGTAGTTTTTGAGCTGAAAAGGGTTCATCCTCTTGTGTTGCCTGTGTACATAGTTATCCCATTCACTTGGGTACACTTATCCTTTGTCCATTATCTTTGCTACAACTACAATTATCATATGCTGCCTGGAACATACCTGTTCCAGATGGGAACTAGTCCCCTCTTTCCCTCATTTGACCAGGTGGTTCACTACAACCAGACCATTGGTAAGGTCATAGGACTGTTGGATTTGGACTAGGTGATAGACTGGTGGCTCCAATTCCTTTTCTCAGTAGGACATTCATCTGCAATGCAATTATTCTTGATTTTGAATCATTTTTTTGGACACATATTTTTTTAGAACACCTAATCAATAACAAGGGAGCTGTGTTGATACTGATCTTATTTTTGCCTTGCCTTTTCTACTACATATTCCTATGACATCATGATCTTCTTGCTCTCTTGCTATTGGACTTTATTTTATGGCTGTACAAACCTGTAACCTATATATGCAGCATTTGTTGTTTTATTCTCTTCTTTTTCTTATTTTGACAATCTTATCCTGTACTAACTATGCAGGATTTATCAGCACATATTTTTTCCTTCATGTCCTTTCTCATTTTTTTCCACAGCTATACCGTGACTAGCCTTTCTTTTGTTTACTATATAAATCGCTGTGGGCTACCTTGTAGAAGAAAAAAAAAATTGCAATCCAGACCTGTTCTCTAATGTCAAGCCCACTATTCACTGCTACTTGTGATCCAGTAAGATCACAGCAATTTTCAGTGCTACTACTGTTAACTGCTATCATTGTCACTCTTCACTGTTGAAGTCACTATCATTCCTTCCAATTAGAGTCTTTCTGAACACTACAGTTTGTGTGTCAGGAGCCTGCTATCACTGAGAGTCTTGTTGTCTTAACATCCCCAAGCCTCATGCTACAATTAGCAAGATAATGCTTGTCCATATTCATCAGCCACTGCATGGTTAGCTTGGTTAGGGTTACTGATTAGTATTCATCAGGAAATTAGTGAGAGTCCGACAAAACTATGTATACAGTTGTAAAGTGTTATCAACTCTGACATGTCCCAATAATATCATTCTGATGGATCATAATGTAATGATTTATATTTACTGGGTGAGTTGTTGGAAACCACAACATACATCACAATTATCACACCCAACAAAGTTGCAGCAGCAGTCTTTTGAGTGATCAACTCTAGCATTGCGGACAATACACCATAACCTCTGGGAGCCATGTCACAAATCACCAAGTTCAGCAGTCTGCTCCCGCTGGTCTTCAGCTTACCTCTAAGGTACACTATTGCCAGCATTATACAACTTGTATGGTAGCCCCTTTGGTGTAACTGCTGGGATACTTGAAAGTGGTGATATTTTTTCTCATGCTTATGCATATGGGTCTTGTAGTATCAGAATGGTGCTATATCTGAATATATAGAAATATAGACAGAGTTGCTTAGCAAATGCTTAGGACATAGCCTGATTTTACACCTTCTCATAATACCAAATATTCTCGTTCTGGTGGCAAGCCGACTTCAGAGTTTGATGCTACTTCTCAGCTATGTTGTCATACAGATCATACATGTCAGTAACTTGCTTTATGCAACAGACTGTGAAGTATGATAATGCAGTGTCAGTGAGATGATCTGCTGTGACAGGATTATACATTGTATCTAGTAATTATGATGCGTGCTCAGTGGCCGTACACCGGGTTCGCTGGCTGCTACCAAAATCATGATGGGGCCATTTTCAAGAGTGAAGAGCAATTGTTTCATATTAAAGTCATATTTAGATATTAACAGTACTACATGGTCCGAGTCTGACTGTGTTTACCTCCTCCCATCAAAATCAAGTGGGATGGCTCTGTAGCAGTATGTTAATTCTGCAACATGCCAAGCCTATGCCCCCACCCCTCAAAGCAGCTCACCGCTCACGAATTTTTGCAAGTGTGCTGTGTTTTGATGGTAGTGTTTCAGGAGCACAATGAACGGGAAAAACTTGGCTAACAAACAGGAAGTCAGTACTACACCAAGATGAAACAACAGCCTAGTGATGATGCTGATTGATTCCACCAATTTATCAAAGACTTGACTTCATCACACTCCTCTGGATCATCCAACAAGATCAGGATACTATTGTAGAAACACTTGGAATCAGTGGTAAGATCTGTCTGTGAAAATACCTGTGCCAAAATTAGTGCAAAACAAACCTATATTTTCAAGTCATCTTATCAATGTGTGATCTTTAGAATATTGAGGTGCCATAGCTTACATGCCACATATACGGGCATTCCCAGAGCGTGTGGCCTTGGGCTCTTGATTGACGGAGCTGGACAATGTAAAAATATGCTTGAACACCTATAAAAGAGTTCAAATCATCAGAGGGTGCAGCCCGTGTGACCAGCTCCACTGCATGAGAGACTTGGATCTAAAATAGAACGAAAGGCAGTGCAGCACGAGAAAGTGGAGTTTGAACAAAAGGGAAAGTGCCGCATGGCACGGAGTGTGAGAACTACAGACTACATGTGGCCTGGCATGGTCAAAGACGTACAGGAATACGTAAAATCCTGTTTGAGATGTGCCATGGCTAAGACTGTTAAAGAGGAGAATGAAAATTAAAGGTCCGAAAATGTGTTATTTTAACACTACCCCCCTCTAAGGCTCGACTTCCAGGCGAGACCAAGTACCGGAGGTAGTAGTTAAATTTTTGAGCATAGGTTGAAAAAGGGAATTAAAAATTTTAGAATCCATGCCTTCAAGCTTCCCAGGAGCCGATGGATTCTTAGAATAAAATTTGCCAACAGCATCGCAGGAATTGTCCAGATGGGCTTCTGGTTCCCATATTCTGTCCTTGTCTCCATAGCCCTTCCATAGGACTAGGAATTCTAATTTTCCATGCTTCAAGTGTGCATCCACCACTCGTTCAACTTTGAACTCTTCTTCACCTTCCTGGGTGACTACAACCGGTCTGAGCCGGTCTACACGCTGTCCCGGCAGCGGCCCTTTGTAGGGTTTCACACGGCTAATATTTACCGTGGGTACTACCCTCATTTGTTTTGGGAGTTCCAGCTCCACTGCATTTGGTTTGACTTCCTTAATCCAGTAAGGGCCAAT